GGGTGAGGTCCCCAACAAAGGAGCTGTGTCCTTGAGGAGCTAGGGGTCCGCACTGGCACTCGGAGGTGTCAGGGTCCCTGGCAGGGAAGGACCCGGGACGGTCTTGCCTTCTTGGGGGGGTGGGGGGCGGTCCATTACATAGTGGTTTTTAGAATTTTCACAGAGTTGTACACCCATCACAATTAATTTTAGAACATTTTTGTCACCCCAGAACGATCAGCAAGCACTCCATTTCTTGCCAAGCCTCAGCCCTGGCAACCGCTAAGAGGCAAATCCACAGAGAGGATCGTTCTGCGCATTTCACAGAAACGAGTCACACACCATGTGGTCTTTTGTGTCTGGCTGCTGCTTTCACTTAGCGTGTTTTTAAGGTTCATCCCTATCATTTTCTCTTTGTTTTATTTAAACCTATTATGTACTTAAAAAAAAACAAACAAACTTGTATGTGTCCTCTTCGTCTTTCCATTTTTAACAGCTTTATTGATATCATTTATATACTATAAGATTCACTGGTTTTAAAATGGACAAGTCAGTGATTTTTGGAAACCTAACAGGATTCTGCAGTCGTCCACTGCAGTAATTTTAGAACATTCTCATCACCCCGCAAAGATCCATGTGTCCATTTGCAGTTACTCCCCGTTCCCTGCCCCGTTCCCAGTGACCTACTAATCTGTTTTCTCTCTCTTACAGAATTGCTTTTCTGGACACTGCATATAAAATGAATCATATAATTTATGTTTTGGTGTCTGGCGTCTTCCACTTAGCATACTATTTTTGAGGTTCATGCACGCGTCAGTAGTGTGTTCCTTTTCCTCACCAAATGTTCCCTTGTATGGATGACACCACATTCTGTTTAACGATGCATTATTTGATGGGTGTTTTGAGTTGCTTCCCCCTTGTGAATAAAGCAGCTATGAACATCAGTGTGCACATTTTTGATGGGACATATGCTTTTCATTTCTCTTGGGAAAAGAATGGAGGAGTGGAATTTCTGGGTCATACCATAAATTTTGTTTAACTTTTTAAGAAACTGCCAATTAAAATCTCCCTAGCGGGGCCTCCTTCCTAATTTCCCCTCCGTTGCTTCTGCCAGCGCTGCTTTGTAACCTCCTCTCCTGGAGGCCGCTGCCGGGTCGGGCCGGTTTGGTGCGGACAGGGCCCGCTGCCCACTGTCCCAGCTGCCCTCTTGGGCTCTCCCTTCACCGTCAGCATATGGGACAGTCAGGTCTCCCCCTGTGTGTGTCTCTCTCTCTTCCGGTTTCCTGCTTGGGTTTATTCCCTCATTGAAGCCATGTGCTGCCTCCTTCAATTACTTCTGCCAAAAAGGAGCACAGGAAACAAAAGTTTTCAGTGCCTTGTTTGCATGTTTGAAAATGCCTTTATTTTACCCTCACAAGTGATAGATTGGGCTAAATTTTAGAATTATAAGCTAGGGCCTGCTATAATTTGGAAGATCTTCCTCCATCTTTTACAAGCTCCCAACATTGTTGATGGTTCCTTGAGCATATGTAACCTGTTTCTTCCTGGAAATTGTATTTTTGGTACATTGTGCTGGCCACTAAGTGGATCTTTTCTTTTAGAAACACATGCCTTCCAGTTCAGGGAAAGAAACCACTTGTATTTTTTCTCTTCCATTTATCTAGCTTCTGTTTCTAGAACTCCTGTTGTTGGAATTGCAGCTTTTGGACTGATGTTCAATTTTTGTAGTCTCTCTAGTTTTCCATCTCTTCGTCTTTTTATTTTACTTTCAGGAAGTTTCTCCTTGGCACCACATCTTTTAAGGAGCTTTTATTTTGCTGTCATTTGCATTAATTTTCAAGAGAGCTTTTTCTTTGGAGAGGGGTGTTTGTTTTGTTTTGTGGGTGCAATATAGTCTCACTTTGAGGATGTTAATGGCATGTCTTATTCAACTTTTCATCTCTCTGTACTTATTTCATGGTTTTGGTCTCTGTATCTCACTTGAAGACTCGCTCCGGCGGGCGGTCCTGGCCTGTCTGCTGTGTGTGGCAGAGCCAGGTGAAGCTCCTGGGCCTCCCCGGAGGCTGAACCAACTGGACTGTCTCCCTCAGAGACCTCCTCCCCTTTTGGACCTCTTCTTGGACCGGCCAGGTTTTTCCATAGAGGAATGTCCGTTCTGGTGGCGGCTTGGGTTCTGGGGGCCTAGTGGAGAAGGAGCTGGGAGCCTGCTCTCCCTCCTCTAAGTACCGAACTCTGACTTTCCGCTGAGCTTGTCCCACAGCCCAGCAACCACCTATTTCACCTCCTCATCATAACTCACCCATATTTCACTGGAGGTGGGGCCGGGTTTTCTGGCCACACCAAATGCAGAGGGTGGGATCTGGGCCTGGGCATGTCAGCTCTCCTCTTCCCTGAATTTTAACGTGAGAAATCTCAGGTCTACAGAAAAGGTACAAGAATAGCACAGTGCAGTGTTCGGTACCGATGTAACCCAGGGGAACACTCTGTTACCCTTCCTTTCTCCTGCCTCCCCTGCCCCCCGCCCCGCCCTAGACCAGCGACATTTCACCCGGTGTGTCACAAGGATTTTTAAAATACGCAGTACATGACTGTTTAGTCAAGGACACTGACCTCTTTTCCCTTAGACTGTCAAATAAAAAAATGTCAACAGTCAATACAGCACTAGCCATCTGCTGGGAATGAATCAAAATTATACCTTTTTTTGGTCAGGTTGGGAAAAAAAATATTTTTGTGTGTGCCACAGAATTTCAGTAATTAGTCTGTGTGCCATGAGATGAAAATGGTTGAAAGGCGCTGTCCTAGACCCAGCTGCCTTTCTGCCAGCGTTGTGGCCTGTCGTGGACCAGACGCTGTTCTTGGCTGGGAAGGAGGCCAAGACGCAAAGTGGAATCACAGGTCTTGCTCATTTGAGCCGACAGCAGGGTGATGTAAAATTTAGGCGTAGCTTCTGCCACACCCAGGCTTGTCCTCATGCCTGTCCCAGACATGCCTTCCTTTGCCCAAGCCGTGCCCTCTGCTGGGAAGCCCTTCTGTGCGCCCCCCTTGTCTAAACCTGCCCTCCCTCAGAAGGCCAGTGTGGGTCTTCCTGACCCTTGGCCTGCCTGGGAAGCAGGGGGGAGGGCTTTGTAGTGCTGTCCCTGTGCTGGAGCTGTAAGTCTCCTCGTGGGAGCAGTGTGCTCAGGGCACACGCCAGCTCCAGAGAGATGGCGCGTGGGCCCCAGGGCTGGGTGTTGGAAGAGAGCAGCTGCAGCCTTGGGCCCCCTCCACGGGGGCAGCAGCAAGCTAGGCGTTGTGTTGGTGGTGAGAGCGTTCCCAAGGCCTTAAAGACACTTCTTCTTTGAGGCCTTTGCTTTATGTTGAGCTAATCTCAGACACTGGTGGAACATTTTATATTCTAGAATGATTCACAGTCAGATGGCACCTGATTCCCATCACATGGCCGGAGGTGGGTCTGGAAATACTCTCCTGAATGCTTAGCAGGGAGAGGACCAAATCGGGCAGGGCTCGGAACGGACTGCCCAGGGTCCCGGAAGGAAACAGCGAGGCCCACCATGTCTGTACGAGTCATTCAGTGCGACCCTTCGCAGCGCAGCGGAAGGACGCAAACAACCTCAACTCCGTAGCATAGGGCATGTGGTAATTAAAGGAGTCCGTCCTCAGAATGCTATGCAGCCAGTAAAAGTGATCTTCTTAAGTTTCTTTAAGAATAGGGAAAGCTATTTATTTATAGTCTTAAACTTACAAAGCAAACCCTAAAATAGAATGTTGTGTGATCCTAGTATTTCTAAGGATTCATGTAGGAAAAAAGAGACCGAAGGGTGAACCCTGACATTAGTAATAGTTACTACGTTTTTTTTTCAAACTTGCATATTTTTCAAATATTTCATGTTGAATATTTATTTATTTAATGAAGAAAAAGTAGATTATGGAATAAAAGCAATTCCGTATGGAATTTTATTCCATAAAAGCAGAGTCTGTGATACTAGCAGAACGAGACGGCTAGGGAAGCTTTAGTCAGTGGGGCTAATTGCCAGCCACACAGTCGGGGAAGGTGGGTTTCCAGGACCCCACCCTACCCTGCATCCCTATGCCTTGATTCAACATGGTCCTCCACGCCCCTTGCCATGCCGCTTGCCAAGCCAAACCACATCCTCTGTGTCCTTTGCCACAGGCCAGCCACGCACATGGAGGGCTCAGGTATCTGTGCTTCTGTCCCTGTGTAGCTCTGCAGACCCAATGTGTGTCTGTCCTGACCTTGCACCAGGTGGTCTTCACTGTGCACCAAGGTGCCTCCCCAAGCAGGCAGAATAGGGAGGAGGGGGGCTCAGGGGACATTGCCTCTGGCTCTTTCCTGCATCGGGGGTTGGAGAACTTCAGAAAGAGACTGGAAGGACCGACCTGCAAATGACTCCGAGACTGTGGTACATAAAACTAGAATTCTCCCTTGTGTTCAGCCTCCCGCTACCACTTGCAGCCACACGCAAGTATGCATCGAGGGCTGCTGGGCACAGGGAGCCAGGCAGGAACATACCAAGGCCCTAACCTTGAGGCTGTGAGAGGACCAGCGGGGAGGTGGACAGATGGTGTCCCGGGTCTAGTGCCGAGAGGGTCACACACAGCAGTTCCCCCTTCATGTTGACAGGGCGGAGCCCCCAGGCGGTCTGGGGCGGGAGGGCAGCTGAGGCTCTGGAATAAACCTCCTTGGGGCTTCGAGCTGCTGCAGGGTGGTCAGCGGGAACGGCTGGCCCTGTGCTGTGCCAGCTGTTGCCTGGCAGAAACCACAGTGAAGGGAAGGCCTCATTTCACAACAGCAGTACAAAAATGAAGACTACTGATGGATCATTTAATAAGACACACACATGACCCATTTGATACAAACAGCAGTGTTTTATTGAGCTCTTAAGAAAACCTGAAAAAATGGAATAGATGCTGCACCCACATCTGGTCCTCCAAGCCTCAGATAGCCTGACTGTGCTGCTGCAGGAACCATACTTACAGCCCACTTCTCTTTTTGCTTCCAGAAGTGACTGGGGATTCGCGGCCTTACCATGGGAAGGAGGCTGTGGATTCGAGGCAGGGGCGGGCCCGAGGCGGCGACCCCACACGTTTCCACGCAGTGAATGTGGCACAGCCTGTTCGCTTCAGCAGTAAGTTGCAGACCTGCCCTGTTTGTGACCGAAGCCCCACAACCCCACAGGCCCCTGGCTCTCCCAGTGCCCTTTGGCTGTGCGAGGGGTTTAGGGGCATCTTTTAAAACAGCCCTTCAGGGCGGTTAGGCATCCTCCTCCTCTGTTGAGAGGCTGTGCAGTGACCCACCCAAGGCCACGTAGGCTGAGAATGGTGAAGCTTTGACGCCAGCTGGCCCCAGAGCTGGGCTGCCTATTTTCACAAGACAGTTGCTGTTCAGAGCCGGCCCGCAGAAGCCCTTCTGTAGTTGGGAACAGGCTCCAAGAAACCAGGTACAGCTGATGGCGTGGAAAGGTTCTACCAGCATTTGTAAACATTTTTAAAGTGACTACTTAGAAGATTCCTTGTGACATTAAGAATTTAAAGGAGCATAACAAGATTAAGGGAGGTTGGAAGGCAGAAAAACCACAGCAAACACAGGCCTAGGCGTGATGCCATGGCGACTCGCCGGGACAGGAGGAACTGACGTGACACATGATGCTGGGCTGGGGTGCTAGGCGGTGCTGTTAATCCTGACCGCACAGACGCTCAGGGCTGGGGAGCACCTCAGGCCTCTCGGCTTTGACACACATAGCTGGGAGCTTGAGGGCTTCTCACAGGGATATAATGCAAGCTTGGCGAGCAGAGAAACGGAGCCCCTGACAGGTCACACAGCCAACACGGCAGCCCGTGGAAGCATACCTCTCAGCCCCGTGCACCTCCTGTCCGTCACTCACCTACTTTGTTCTGAGCAAGTAGTGCTTCTTACCTAGGGGGCAATTCCACAACGTTCAACAGGTAAAAAAAAGATGTTCCTTCTCTCCCTTGCCCCCACTCATTGGCTTCTGTCCCCAAAGGGTTTCCCCCTGGACCCGTCCCAAGATGTGGGTGAGGAGGCAGAATAGAACCCCAAGCTGACATTCACCAGCCGAGATGCTCGGCCTGTGCCCACCGCGGTGTCACCGCCAACCTGGAGGCAGGATGGAACCCACGTGTGGGGCAGTGGCAGGCGAAATACACCACGGTTGGTAGGGAGCTTAGGAAACACGCAGTAAAAGGCCTGATCGCCCCCCTCGCACCCATGCCACACCTCCCCGTTCCCCTGCGCGGGGGTCCCTGAGGGCTGGCTCCTGTCGGCAGTGAAGGCCTCCCCGCGCACCCCGCTGCCCGCAGGCAGGCCCTCCGGCGACTCCTCCTCCTTCAACCCACTACTTGGCTTCTACCCACCATGGAACCACCTGAGCCTCGTTTTCTCATCTGTGGGAGGCAGGAGTTGGTCCCACAATCTCAGTGGCCCTTCCAGCTCTGGTCTCCTGAGCTTCTGTTTTAGCAGAGTGCTGGCCAGAACAGAAAAGGAAGGCTGAGGAGTAGGCTCAGGAAGCGCTGGGCTTGCTGGTGGCCTGGCCCGAGCCCCAGCGTTGGGGCAGCACGGGCGGTGAGGGCAGGGAGCCTCCTTGCTCGCTCCCACCAGGCCTTGCAGTGATCTGCTGTGGGCAGTTCTGCCATCTTGTCAAGCAGACTTAACGAGAGAATGAAATCAATTTACCGAAAGAATACAGCAGCCAGTCTTTACTACCAAGTAAATTAAAGACCTTATAGAATTGGGAGGAGCCACAGGATATACTTGGACCTTAGCTTACATCTGTATCTTAGAGAAGCAGGTATCCCACACAATATGTGGTCTTAAAGGCAGAGCTTTTCCTTTTGGGCCTCAGTGTCCCCATTTCTCTAGGGTGATTCCTGAGCAGCATATATAATCTTGTTGTGGAGTGAGGATCCTAATTTTGGGGGTCATCTCCCCTTCTGTCCTTCATGTTTCCTAGGGAAGTGCCCGACAGGGTGGCACCACTATGAAGGCACGGCCAGCTGTTACAGGGTCTACCTGAGTGGGGAGAACTACTGGGACGCTGCGCAGACCTGCCAGCGCGTCAACGGCTCCCTCGCCACCTTCTCCACTGACCAGGAGCTGCGCTTCGTCCTGGCCCAGGAATGGGACCAGCCGGAGCGGAGTTTTGCTTGGCAAGACCAGCACAAGTAAGTCCTGGGTGGGGATCAAGGGGCTTGGGCGTCAGGCCATTGCCGACCAAGCACGTGGCCTCTTGGTCGCTGTGGCAGTCCTAAGGCCTAGCCAGCAGCTGGCAGATTGGGGAAGAACGGCTCCACCCACTAGAAATAGCGACCTAGGGGTGTAGGGTGGGCATTGAGACAGGGTGGGAGCTCGGAAGGGCAGAGACAGGCTGCCATCTTGGGTCTCCTTGGGCCAGTCCCTTTTGTTGGTCCTCCTTGGTAGGTTCAGCTGCTGACCTGCAAGGGGACCCAGCCTGCGTCGGGACGGGCTATGCGGTTTGTGCCCCTGCGGGCCCAGCACAGGGGGTGCACAGGTGGGCGGTAGTCCCTTCTGAGAAGATGGGCTCTGCCAGGCCCTCTGCTCAGTGCTCTCCAGGGGCTCGCTCGTTCAGTCCTCCCGGAAACCACAGGAGGCCGGTGGACGAGAAGACTGAGGCCCTGGTAGGCAAGCCTGTGACTGTGGGCGTGTACTCGCTGGCCTGTCCCTGGGTTCCCACCCAGACAGCCTGGCTCCAGAGCCTGACTGTTGACCCTCAGGCTCTGCAGTGTGGAGGAAAAAGTGTGGAAACTGGCCAGCTGCCGGCATTTCCTAACCCCTGGGTTGTGGGGGCAGGCACGTGTGAGGCCGGTGGTGTGCGGCCTCCACTGCCCCATCCATGCTGCTGGGGGGTGGGAGTGTGACCTGCGGGGGGTCACCAGATCCTGCACTCCCTCCCAGTGATGGCACAGGCTGCCATGCTGCCATAGGAACAAGATGACAGCATCGGGTGAACAGAGCGCCGCCTTCTTAAGGCCAGAGCTGGGTTTGGGCTCTCCCGTTATACCCATGACAGTGGCATATTATGAGACCATGCTGGTTTTTTCCCACAGCTACAAAGTGAGAAAAATAACTCCTAGCTCACAGGGTGGTTGTAAGTTTTTAGAAAAGGCAGCAGGCTCCCAGCCCCAGCAGTGGGGAAGCACCCTGTCTCCAGGGTGGGCGTGTGCATGACAGTAGGCCGAAGGGGTAGAGTGACACCCTGCCAGGCCCCCGCCCCGCCCCCCCTGCCGCCGGCAGCAGGGGGCCACTGGAGGCATCTCCAGGGCTGGGCTGAAAGGCTGGGGTGAGGGGCGCACGCTCAGCCGGGAACAGTCGACCTGGTTCCCGTGCACAGCCTCCTCGGCACTGCGAGGTGCACGCTCAGCTGCAGCCACAGGCCTGGGCAAGCTGGCTCTGCTCCGGGGACCCCGCAGGAGGCCAAGGGCAAGCTTTCCCCACCGCCCACCACAGCACACACTCACAGGGGTCAGTTTTCATTGAGATTAATTCATATCATAAAATTCGCTCCTCTAGAGGGCGCTGTTCTGTGCCTCCAGTGTATTCCCAGGGCTCTGTGTCCACCCCGAATAAGGTTGCTCCTGCTTGGAATGTGAAAAGCTTCATTGGATCAACTAATAAGAACAGACTTGGCAGGAGTCACTCAAGATAAAACTTTTTCTGACCTGTGAATTTAGTGTTTAGAATTTTAATGTATTTTATTAAAATTAAGTATCAAAAACTTTAAAAAATCATTAGTACTTTAGAAGTTTAGTGCTGCAGCGGTCAGTGTAACTACTGAAACACCCTCATACTCTGTCCGTGGCCGCCCCCTGCGGCCGTGCTGAGGTCCCCTGCATTTCTGCCCTCCCACAGGTTGTGGGTTGGCTACCAGTATGTCATCACCGACCGGAACCGCTCAGAACGGCATTGGGAGGTAGCAGCATTCAAAGGTAAGCCTTTCTGGTTTTTCAGAAGTGTTGTTGCATTTGAAATCAGGGTCTGCCATCCTGAATGGGGAAGACTGCTAGGGTCTCCTCTCCTTCCTCACCCCCCCATCAGCGGTGCCCGGCATGGACGGGCCCTGGGTCGGGGGCCGCGGAGAGGAGCGGCCCCCACCACGGGGAGGGCTATGATGGCAGGCCGAGGCGCCCCAGGGCCAGGCCCCTCTCCCAGGCCAGTTTCTTTTTTGGAACCCATGGTTGCTTCCTACTTGGCTAAATTTCTAGACCAACCAGCCTCCTTTTATAGCTAAGGGCTTGAATTAGGGCATAAAAATGAGCACACAGCGTGGGCAGCTGGCGTGAGCCAGGGAGGGAAGGACAAGCCTTCCAGGCTGATGAAGTTCAGAGATCCAGAAATTGCAGGAAAGCTGTCGGGCAGCAAAAGCTAACGTAGAGGAATCTGCTGGAGCCGCAGACAGAGGGGTCGTCCCTCACTCTACACACCTCCCAGCCTTGCAGGCACATCCGGAATCTCCTCACTTGTTGCCAGATTGCAGCCACCAGACCTGCTGTCTCTCACCTACATCACTGCTGCCCTCCCGACCCCAGCCTCCTCCCATGGCCCCCTGAGGGTCCTCTACTCCTCTGTCCCCGGCTGTTCATGACTTTCCTCCCACAAGGGCGCTGTCCTCGCCGAGACCTGCAGGCCCTTTCCCCCTGCTCTCCCCTTCCACCACTGCTCTGGCCCCCTCAGCCCCCAGGACGCCTCCTCTTCTCACCTGCTCTTCCCGCAGGTCACCTTTGTTCCCACCGAAGCCCTCCCTGGGCCCCTACGTCCCGGCTCAGGCCGTTCCAGTGCAGTGCAGTGCAGTGCAGTGCAAGGAGGCAGCGGCGCAGCCAGGCCAGCCTGGGGCTGAGGTGGGGCCTGCTGCGCTGGGCAGCTGGACTGCGCAGCTGGGGATTTATGGCGAACACCCGCTTCCCTTAGCGAGTCTGGAATTGCGATGGGCAGGGGTCGGCCCAGGCTTTTCTGAGCAGAAAGTGTGTCGCAGTATGGCTGGCAACGACCTGCTCCCCGGCACCTTCCTCCCTGGAGGGCGCTTGCTGGGGAAGCCTGGCCTGGATTTTTCCCGACTCCGCTGGAGCCGTCTCTTCCCTTGCTGCTGGTGTATCTTGGTGCATCGCTGCAATAAGTCTCAGCCGTGGCCGTGGCTAGATGCAGGGTCCTTTGATTCCTAGCAAAGCAGTGAGGCCCCCAACCCAAGCAGTGTCAGGAGTGGCGGCGTATGCCCTCCTCCCTTCCCTGCTCTGCGGCCTGCCATCACCTCCACGCTCCAGCTTCCTTTTTGCTGGAGCGGCCATGACCTTCTGACATGTATGCTTCACTTCCTCCGTTGTTTGGCATCTGTCTCTGCCATTTATGCCCCTCACTCAGACGTCAACTCCACAAGGCACGTTGTTGCCCAGTGCACCCTGAGTACCCGTTTACAGGTTTGCGGCGTGCTAGTATTTGTTAAATCTCGAGGGAGAATGATCAGGAGGCTGTGTTAGATTCTTGGGACTTAGAAAAGAGGCTCAGAGGTTTGTGGCCCCCTCCCCCAACACCCCTGCACGGCCCACCCTGGGCTGTAGAGTGGTTTCTGATCACCTGATTCCCCGCTGGGAAGGCAGTAGCTGAGTGGATGATGGAGAGGCTCCCTGGAGCTGGGAGTGGATCCCAGGCAGCGAGCGCTTCCCTGGAGTTCACCTGGCCAGCTGATGCTTCCGGTGGGCGTGGGAGCCACAGTTCTGCCTAAATTAATGCATTCGTGGCAGATGAGGTGGGCTCCTTCTTGAGTCCTCTCTTTATCAGTCACTATTCTGTTGTGAGGGAGAACTTTTCCCTCCTCTATTTATTTATGCTTGTTTTATCCATAGGAACTTGCACATTTTCATTACTGTGTTATAACCCATTACTTCACCCTTCATGTTATTGCTGTACCTTTAAACGTCCCCAGCCAAATACAGTCTTCCTCTGGCTCTCCGCCTGGCACGATCTGTCCTTGTGCTTACCTCACTGACTCCAAGCAGCGTGGCCCCTGTTGGCCCCGTTCCCAAACCTGTGCTCCGTGAAGCTAAGGGAGATTGTGAATGAACGCCGTAACTGCAGTACAGCGCTTCGGTGGTCTGTGAGCTCCTTGCCTGATGGTCCCGTGTAGGAGGGCCTTGGTCCCCACAAAGACGGCATGTGGTTGGGATTATATTGTAACGGCCCTGCCTTTTGTCTCTCCCACAGGCTCCTCAGAGGTGTTGCTGCCCCCACACCCCACCCTCACCTCGGCCATGTCTGAAAGTGACAGCATATTCTGCGCCCAGCTCCAGTGCTTCCACTTCCCCACCCTCCGCTATCACGACCTGCACAGCTGGCATGCCGAGAACTGCTATGAGAAGTCTTCGTTTCTTTGTAAAAGAAGTAAGCCCCCTTGACCATGACGCCTAGTGAGCTGTAAGGAACAGTGCTTCTTGTGAGAATGTGGCTTCCTAATTTCTGATCCTTGATGTCGACCTTGAGTGGACTTGCCCATGTGAGAGCGGGCCGCGGGCGTACGGTGCCTGGCTCACGCCCGACTCTGAAGGCGGCGGTAAGGTGCCTTGGGGCCGAGGGCTAGGGCCTGGGCTGAGACCCAGGGCTCGCATGAGCCTGGCTGGCTTGCTCCTTAGTTCTGTGGCCTGGGCAACAATTATGTCAACTCCTTTTCTTCTCTGTTCTAGCAGAGAACGATGTTATACGAGCCTCTTGTCCTGGAATTCCCTGCCTACGTGTGTCATGTAGATTTGACTCCAGTCTTCAGTGAGGCATAGACCGATGGTTGTGGAATTTCTGAAGAGCGTTTGTAGGCATTCGTACCCTATTTAGAGATGGAACCAACTTCCTTTTCATGTCCGTTTGTCTTTCACTGAATGTGCATCCCTTTGGCGACCACCTCTGCCTCACCCTCAGTGCCTTTTCCAGGCACCTGTCACATCTGCCCGCTTAAGGCTCCGCATTCTCGGCTCCCTCCTGACTCTGGCCACAGCCATCCCTCTTCCTCTAGCCCCAGGTCAGCTCTGCACAGGGTTTAGTGAGGGTCTCCGTGATGGACTGCGTGGACCATCTTCCCAAGCAATACCAGCAGCCCCTTGGGCGACTCATTCAAGACACATTCTGACTTTGCCCTATCTGGCGTGGCTCAGCTGGTTGGGCGTTGTCCCACAAAAGTGAAAGGCCACTGGTTCAGATTCCCAGTCAGGGCACACGCCTGGTTGCAGGTTTGGTCCCTGTTCGGGGCACATATATGACAGGCAACAGACTGATGTTTCTCTCTCACATTGATGTTTCTCCCCCTCTCTTGTCCCCCCCCGCCCCGCCTTCCCCCCTGCAAAGAAATAAATAAAATGTTTAAGACACATTCTGATTTTTAAATGGTTCCTACATGCAGCAGCTACATCTTAGAATTGAGGAACTCACAAAAGTAAACTGTTTAACCCTGACTGGTGTGGCTCAGTGGGTTGGGCATTGTCCTACAAACTGAGAGGCCGCTGGTTTGATTCCCAGTGAGGGCACATGCCGGGGTGGCAGACCAGGTCCCCGGTTGGGGGTGTACACGAGGCAATTGATTGGGTGTTTCTTTCCCTCTCTTCTCTCTCTAAAAATAAATTTTAAAAAACTTTTTTATTTTAACATAAACCGCTTAGGCATCTTGAAAGCAGATACTTCCATGCGCCCTCCCTGGAGTCTGGCACTGTCCTCTGTCCCGGCTGTCCAGGCGTATGCCTCGCTGTGCCTGACAGGCGTGCTTTGTCCTAGCGGGGCACTACAGCGACCTCTCTCGAACAGCCACTGACAGAGCTTTCAGGCTGACCATGGCAGCTCCCCTGTTGTTAGGTTTGTGGGGAGAGTCAGAGCTGGTCCTGCTGGTGATGCGTACGTTTGTGTTTGTGTGCGCCCCTGCAGGTCAAACGTGCGTCGACATCAAGGACAACGTGGTGGATGAAGGGTTCTACTTCACCCCCAAAGGAGACGACCCGTGTCTGAGCTGCACCTGCCATGGCGGGGAGCCAGAGATGTGCGTGGCTGCCCTTTGCGAGCGGCCCCAGGGCTGCCAGCAGTACCGCAAGGACCCCAAGGAGTGCTGCAAGTTCATGTGCCTGGACCCAGGTGAGACCGGGAGTGGGTCACAAGTCAGCCTCCCTGTTCGGGGCCAGAGGCTGCATGGCCCATTGCTTCCTTGGTGGTGGGGACTGGCAAGAGCTCACGACACGTGGTGTAGCTGATGGCAGCGTTTGCTCACAGAGTTGTCTCTCAGGCTTTGTTGGGCAGATACTGTAATGGGCACATGTCTGTCTCTCTCACACAACGTGGCCTCTTCTGACTGCTACCTTGCAGGCTGGCTCTCAGATAACAGGTATCATTCATTCACTGATGAACTTGAGTGTTGCTGTACATTCCCAAATCCACTGTTACTGATGTCTTCAGACCTGTCTTTCTCCTCTCATTTTAAGACTAAGAACAAGACTTCCAACTTATATCCCCGTTCGAGTCCTTCCTGTCCTCTGAGTATGGTGAAGTGGTGGGTAATGACAGTTTTCATTGCTTACAGTCATCAATTTTTACTGTTAGAATCTGTAAGAAAAAGAATAAATTATTACCATTTCAAGATAAAACTGCCCACTATGTGGCACTTTGCAGTGGACACTATGCAGCTGTGTGGTCTCTGGGTGACATTCCTTCCACTTTCCAAAAAAGAGCAGCAAGTGGGGCTTCTGCTCTGTAGGACCATTAGGACACGTCAGAATTCACACGGTGCGCTGGGTGGCTCCCCACCAGTGCAGGTGGCCTCTCCGTATGAATTCACGATCTCAGGAGAAATGTAGATCAGAAGCATGAATTTTTCTTTCCTGGCTGTCACAGTACAAGGGTGATGTGGGCAGAGACTGGGGGAAGGCCCTGCACTCACAGACCCTACAGAAAAGCAGGTTGGGTGGGGTCACCGTGGGGGAGAGGCCGGTGCGCCGCGTGCTAGTGAGAACTGCAGTCGGCACGGGAGGGCCACAACAACAAGAACAGTTCCAGAGGGGGAGTTGTCGGTGTTCTTGCACGACGAAGGCTGCTGGCAGAAGGCCAGGGAGCGCCAGAGGCTGCCTAAGGCTCAGAGGTGCACGGTTGGCTGCAGAGAGCGCAGAGGCCATGTATGCCCGGGCATGTGTTGTACAAGCATGTGTGGCCCGAGGACTTCTGAGCAGAACAGGGCACTCAGGGCGTCTGGGCAGGCCCAGAGCTGCCGCAGGCCACTGAGCCAGGGCCCCACCCTGCCCTTGCCTCAGCCGTGCTTCCGCAGGTGCCTGGCAGCCTCCCAGGTCGCGTGCCTTCTCCTGGGAGGTGCCCACACCGCCCGGGGGATAGAGATACTGCCACCACTGGGGACCCTGGGAAGGTGTCCATTTTAACAAAGTGTCTGCCCTCTTAGTCTGTTCAGGGTTGTACAGGATACCAAGGGCAGTACCAGAAAATGAAAAGGCATCCAGATCAGAAAGGAAGAGATGAAATCATCTCTGTAGACAACATGATTGTCTGCATAGAAGAATCCCGGAGGATCTACAGGAAACTAATAAATGTAGCAGGGTCTCTGGTACAAGCCAATATAAAAAAACCCATTGTATTTATATAAACAGGATGTGGCAAACATAGGTTTATAGTTGTAAATACGCAAAACAGTTTATTCTTGTATTTATTAATATTCCATACAGACATCTGTAAACCTACTTTTGCCTCACCTTCTTCTGTCTGTGAACAAGTTGGAAATTGAAATTTTAAAAAGGATATCATTTACAATAGCACCAAAAAGCATAAAATACTTTGGTATAAATCTTACAAAATACATGCACTATCTGTAGGCCCCAAGTGGTAAAACACTGATGCCCAAAATCAAAGCGTAAATAAGAGGCGAGGTACACCGTGGTCATGGGTCAAAAGACTCAGTGTCGTTAGGGGGTGAAACCTCCCCAAATTGTCTGTAGCTTCAGTGCAATCCCAACCAAAATGCCAGCATACTTTTTGTAGATACTGATAAGTTGATTCTTAAATTTTTGTGGAAAAGCAAAGGAATTAGAATAGCCAAACAATTTTTTAAAAAAAACAAGGTTGGTTTCATGGTACCTGATTTAAAATTACTATACCGTTGTAATCTAAAGTGTAGTATTCGCAGAAGAATGGACAAATAGATCAGTGAGACAGAACAAAGAATGCAGAAATATTCCCACACACATGGTCACCTCTATCTGACAAAGGTACATAGGCAACATTTTTAGATATGACATCAAAAACATGACCCACAAAGGAAAAACTGATAAATTAGACTTCATTAAAATTGAAATTTTTTGCTCTTTGAAAGACATTTAAAGAAATGAAAAGATAAGCCACTGTCTAAGGAAAAATATTTGCAAAACACAAATCAGACAAAGGGTCTTATGTTCAGAGACTATAAAGAACACTAAAAACTCAATAATAAATTACCACTCGGGGGCTTCCAGTCAAGATGGCAGAGTAAGTAAATGCGGTCCTCCTATCCTCCCACAGCCGCATCGTAATCACAGCTAGACTGCAGAGTAACCATCGCTGAGAAGCACCTGAAATCTAGCTGAACAGGACTCTGTAACTAAGGATTTAAAGGAGCCACATCAAGACTGGTGGAAGGGTAGAGACACTGAAAGGACTGGTCCCTCACCCACGTGTGGTGGTTAAATATTGGGATATCTCAGCTTTGGAGGTTTCCCCTTAGCAGCAAGGGTTCCCAACCCCACACCAGGCTCCCCAACCCAGGGTTCCATTGTCAGGAAGAAAAGCCCCCGTCACTGCTGGCTGTGCAAACCTGCAGGGACTGGGGCTGAGGAAGATGGGGGCTGCTGGACCCCCAGGCATGCCTCTGCCGGGGTTCTCACAGCCGTGCTTCGACACTCCGGCTCTGAGCTCCAGCGCTAGGTCAGTGGTTCGAAAGGTGCTGGGGAAGAATGGGGACAGATTGAGTTGTCTGGCTTGGGGCAGGGACTGGTGAAACAGCTTTCTCCAGACAGAGGTGCTGGCAGAGGCTATTGTCCCTTTGCTGTGCCCTCCCCACACAGAGCTAGCAGGCTGGTGCCATGTCTGAGTCTCCATCCACCTGGCTAACACTGTTCACCCCACCCTGAGGATCCCCAGAGACCCTACCCTATCTGACTTATGGACGCACCCAAGCCATTTCTAGTGGCTTTTCCATACAAATGGCCTGTCCCAGCTCATGCTGTGGACTTTTCTAAAATCTCAAAGATCCACAAACCCCAAGCAAGAAGCTTCTGGCTTTGGCATGACTTGTACCTCTTCTTAAGCAGCCCCAGGTCCAGCACTAGCAGCATCAGGCCTTGGTTCCCAGCTTGGCCCCCAGCTTGGCCCCTCCCAGGTACCTCTAGGCCCAGCACAAGTGACAACCATCTGCAGATCATTTTGTAGCTCATGCTGGGTGGCCCTGGGCAGGGCTACCTCGACCTATACCTCCCAGGAAGCCCCAGAGCCAGCGCACCCAGTGGGGTAGCTTCAGCCAGAGCACCACCAAACCACCTCCATGAACAACATATTTAAGTGATTTTTGCTCTGTGGGGTGGGCCCCCACGTGGTTGTGTCCAGTCCTCGTGGGAAGCACAGTCCCAAGCTATTACAGTGAACCCGTGTCAGTGTGTAATCTTTGTGGATGTTCAGGTGTCTTTGCTGTGGTGAAGGTGCCCAGTGTCTGGCCCTGACCGGTGTGGCTCAGTGGGTTGGGCATCGGTCTGCAAACCACAGGGTCACGGGTTAGATTACCCGTCAGGGCACATGCCTGAGTTATGGTCCAGGTCCCCAGTAGGGGGCATATGAGAGGCAGCCAATCGATGTTTCTCTCTTTTTCCCTTCTTGCCCCTCTCAAAAAATAAGTAAAATCTTAAAAAACAAAACAAAAAATGCTTGGCTGGAGGGTGAGGCCGGCACCCAACAAAGGCCCTGGGACCCGCTGCCTCTGCCCTGAGGTGTCGGGTGCAGTCCGGGCTCCAGCCCTCTGCCGAAGCCGCCCTGGAGTGCCGGGTCCTCCAGAGGGACCCCTTAGCCTGCTCAGCCTCGCTTGAGTGGGGCCTGTGCCCCAGGGTAGAGACGGGTGGGGTGAGCAGGTCAGCGGCATCTCGGGCTCATCCCTGTGTGAGGACCTGCCCGCTGTGTATCTCCCAGCCCTGTCCCTTTAGATCGTGGTGCCAGAAGCGAGCCCTGGGCGGTACCGTACACACTTACAACGTACCCCGGGCTCCCCACCAGCACAGGACGGTAGGAGTGGGCGTGGGGAGGTCAGGAATTAGAGCAGCCACCGATGGGCAAGGGGAGGACGGGCGGTAAACAGGGACTTGGGGGCGCAGTAGAGGTCACATCTTACCCTCCTCTCTGGTCACCTGCAGGGCTTTAAGGGACTTCGGCCTCCACATTCAAGGGCTGCTTGGTGCAGGGAGGAGCAGAGAATTCTGGGAGCGTCCTGATGGGGCCAGAGCCCAGGTCTGAACTGGAGCTAGTCACATTGCCCCACCGAGCCTCAGTTCCCTCCATAGAGGGACATTTCTCCTCCTCTTGGGGGTTGTGGTGAGAAACCTGGGAGGTGCCAGCTGCTGTGGCGGATGTACTGTCCCGTTTGGCACTGCCTGTCAAGCCCTTGTGGTTTCCAGGGGCTCACACCCCAGCAGTGGGGATGGGTGGAAGGAAGGGGCGGGCACGGCGGCCTCTGGGGAAGACTGAGGGAGGCGCAAGCCACCTGAATGAGCAGAGCGGGCCTCTCCATGGCCCCTTCCCGGTACAGGCACCGACAGGTGAGGCTGGGCTGTGGCCCAGGCGGGGTTCCTCGGGCCCAGGCTGCTGTCAGGTGGGGAGGGGTGCGTGTTGTGATTTAGGTGTCGAGGCGATGGGTTCCTTCACAGCTGCCATGGAGTCTCCTCTGTGGGACAAGGCCCTGGGCTGACCATCCTTCCCCAGCGGTCGCTATGGACTGCAGTCACTTCCCCCTTTGTCACCACCCCCAGTCCAGGCCACTGTTATTTCCTCCCCCGGGGCCTGCAGGCACCTCCTCACTGGCCTCTCTGACTTTCCCACTACCCTCCTTCCGGGCACTGCTGCCAAGCCAGAGCCCCTCTAACCCCACCCCTCGAGAGGCAGCACTCCCCAGTCCAACCCTCCCCCGCACCTCCACTGACTTCTTGTCAAGTGAGAATAAAATACAGAGACCCAGCCCTGGCCTAGCCACACACTGATCCCCTGCCCTCAGGCCCACCCCATGTCCTCCTCGGGAAGGCCTTTCCTGCCACCACCTCACAGGACATGTCCCCTTTGCCTTTGATCCCATTACCCTGCTCCACTGTGTTCAGGGCACTGCATGTAACTTAGAATTATATCCCGTTGTCTCTCGCACGTATGGATGATCAGTGAGGACAGAGACATTGGTGCATTTCCTCAGTTTGTGTCCCCAACCCTCAGAATCATCTTGTTGAGCAGGAGGGCATATGCCCGGTGCCTGGAGAAAGGCCCGCGGCCTGTGCAGCGGCCTGGGTGTGCCGGGCACGGCTCTCGCCTCGTTGGCTCAGAAACGTCGACCCTGCAAGGAGCAGGGCTTCCTTGCCCACCAGGCATCTTGGGCATTTGCACACAGCGGGTATCAGAGGGCTGCTGCTCACCCAGCACAGATGAGCACATGGCCCCTGTCACATTAGAAAGCTTTTTCCTGACCTGTCATCTGCTGCTTTTGCATGTTACCACAGTACTCCCGGTTTTCAGCCCTTTGGTCTCTGCCTTGATAAGATTGACTCGGGCAGTGAGTTGCCTTGGCCTCCCGGGTGCGTGGTGGAGGGCCATGCCTTCTCAGAGTGCGGAGCGCCTGAGAGCAGCGGGGTTTCTTCTCTGACAGATGGCAATAGCCTGTTCGACTCCATGGCCAGTGGGATGCGCCTCATTGTCAGCTGCATCTCCTCCTTCCTCATCCTGTCCCTACTGCTTTTCATGGTCCACCGGCTGCGCCAGCGGCGCCGGGAGCGCATTGAGTCCCTGATTGGAGCAAACCGTGAGTGCCCCGCCCCTGCCTATGATGGTCACAGTGCAGGCCTGCCCCCAGGGGCAGTGTAGACAGGAAGCAGGAAGGGGAGGACATAAAAGAGGGTGCTGAAAGGCGTCCTTGTCCCACCCACCCACCTGCTCCTGGGCTGAGGGCCCACCTGAGGCACTGGGGGCGCTCTTTACAGGGCGCAAAATGAGACCATGGGCACAGAGAGAAAGGACATGTCTCCAGTGCCAACCAACTCTGGGCTCTCCTGCCAGGAGAAGGAGCAGCAGGCGCCCATGGCCATAGGGGAACTTAATGCGTCTCACCCGCCTCAGTCCGATTTGGCTGCAGTGATTTATGCCCCCAGAAGAATTCCTGAAATTGCCCCACTCGCAAGCAAGCCGGGGCTTCCCACTCCTGTAGGGGCAGGGTAAGGCGGGCACAGGCGGGCAGGAGAGAGTTCAGAATCAAGGCAGCAAGAATGCTGAGCGACCTCACCAGCCTCAGTTAGGGACCTTGGTGCCTCCCAGGGAGCCCAGGTCAGTTCCAAAGTCCCCACATCCATGTGGGCCCACAGGGTTTTTCCCAAGACCTTCCTCAGTTCTCACTGAGCTGCTAGGTCGGTGCAACTCCAAGGCAGTCGTGGGTTGGACGCCCAAGAACGTGTTTGAGCCAAGGGTGTGGCGAGGGCTGGAGCTCGGCAGGCGGGCCTGAGGCTGAGGCGTGCGGGTGAGGGGCAGGGCTGGACTGGCGGGAGGGGCTGGGCAAGCTTCAGGGCTCTCATGTGGGCCACTGGGCACAGACGTGTGACAGTCGGTGCGTCTCGCACCCTGGCCTTGGGGGAGGTGGGGCATCTCCCAGTGGCATGACTCTGTTGCTTGTTTCTGGCTTCCATTGCCCAGTGCACCACTTCAACCTTGGCCGGCGGATCCCCGGCTTTGATTACGGCCCAGACGGGTTCGGCACAGGCCTCACGCCGCTGCACCTCTCCGATGATGGAGAAGGCGGGACTTTCCACTTCCATGACCCTCCGCCCCCCTACACTGCGTACAAGTACCCAGACATTGACCAGCCTGATGACCCACCACCACCCTACGAGGCCTCCATCAACCCCGACAGCGTGTTCTACGACCCTGCAGGTGCTTTCCCCCGGGAAAGGGAGCAGCCTGTCATCAGCCTCCCGGCCGGCAGGGCCTAAAGCCCAGGGGTCCTCCCCAGGGCGCAGGGCAGTGAACCCCACATCTCCCCAGCCTTCCATTGCTGTCTCTGGTAATCCCTTTAAAGTGAACTGCCACCTGTCGGTGAACAGGCTCTTCTCAGGGTCACGTGCGCAAGTGGCCGCCGACAGTGGTCACACTGCCCCTTGCCTCCTTCCCGGGAACACCTGTTAGCAAACAGCCCTCGGACACTCAGTCCTGCTCTGTGGGGAGCTGGGAACCAGGCATCAGCCTCGTGGGGACAGGGCTGGCCCAGAGCCAGCCACTGGGCCTAAAGACACGTGTGCACCTGTGGTGAACTACGGAGACACCACCGTGGCATTCCTTCATGTCCTGAGGCAGCTTTGTGACATGGGAAGAAAACGCTGGCTCTGTGGTGCTGGGCCAGGTACTTGAGTATGTTCCTCCCAGGGCTGTGCAGCAGAGAACAACTGCACAGCCTGGCTTGTCCCTGTCCCTGGTGTGCAGTGCAGATGTTCCACCCTTTCCCTGTGCGTTATTGCCTATAACGCACCCCCCACCCATACATCACCGGCAGCACCCTGCCCCAGGGCGCTGGCTCTCTGTGCGCCCGCACAGCCCCGCAGGATGGCGTCCTGAGGCCAGCACCGCGGAGTTCTTTGTCCTGTTGGTTCCTTCGGTCAGCTAGTACCGTTCCTGGTGGGTGTTGGCAGGAGAAATTTGGATTGACCCCGGCCTTCAGGACATACAGCCACCATCTGCTGTCAAGGGTACTGGGGTAGAACGAGCTTCCTGCCAGGGATGCTGCTGGGAGCCCGGCCCTGCTGCAGACTAGGGCAGCAAATGGTCCCAGGGCAAGGCGGCAGGACTGCTGGGCCGTGGGGAGTCAGCCAGAGGGACTGGTGGGCCCCTGCGCTCAACAACAGCCCATGGTGCCAAGGACAGGCGCTCCCCAGTGAGCGGGCTGCCTCAGAGAGGCCCAGACCAGAGCTCTGCGCAGGCCCCTGCGCCGTCTGCAGGGCTGCCTGCTCTGCCCCGTCACACGTGGTCGCGCTCCTGTCCCCACATCCCGGCTGCAGCCTCGTCTGAGGGCTGTGAGCACTATTCCAGCTGCCTGGCTGCAGCGGCCCAGTAACTCCCTAATGTCACATGAGCCCTGACTCAACCCCTACTGAGTCTAAGAGAACATCCTTATCCCCTGCTTCTGTTCCCCGACTGTCGAAGCGTGCCCTCCCCACCACACACCGGCTGTCCCCTGCACCCTGCACCACGGAAGCCTGTAACCGCGGTGAGGGCAGGCGAGGGGTGAGCACAGTGGAGCCCCAGCCTCAGTGGGAGCCTTCAGGCAAGAGATGCGTCCCCCAGCCTGTCTCCGTCCCCTTAGTCCCCCGTCCTGCTGACGCACCTCTGTCTCCTCCTGCAGACGACGATGCCTTTGAGCCAGCAGAGGCCAGCCTGCCGACCCCAGGGGACGGTGACAGCGAAGGCGCATCACCCCGGTGCCCGGAGCAGCCTCTGCCCGCCGCAGAGGCCTCCCTGGCAGACCTGGAAGACTCAGCTGACAGCAGCAGCACCCTGCTTGTGCCTCCTGACCCTGCCCAGGGCGGGACCCCCCCGGCCCCAGAGGCACTGCCAGCGGGTGGCGGCCACAGCCGCAGCTCCCTCAACACCATGGTGTAGAGGGTGCCCGGCCCCAGGGGCATGGAGCACCTGTTTGCTGTCGGGAAAACCGATTCCTACAGAGACTTGAAGGGCCCTGCGCGAGCCTGGACTCGGCTGTGCCCCCACAGGTGTGCATGTGCGCCTGGAGACTGCGCCAGCCGCCCGGGGAGCAAGCGCCTGCACTGAGTCTCCGTGAGGGCTTCAAAGACACGTAGCTTTGGGTCACTGTCTTTTTCTTTTTAAATGACAGAAGAATGACAAAAGTTTGTTCATACCACACGTTTCAGAAGTAGGGAACAAAGAAGGCACTGTGGGCCTGGGCAGGGGCCAAACCACACCGGGCTTTGGCGGGCTCGCTCGCTGCAGCACCTCGTCCAGAGGAGCCTGGCGCCCAGCTGCCGAGCCCCAGGGCTGCCACCGCCGTACACCTCACTGGCCGCCGCTCAGGAAGGCGCTTCCGGGCACCAGTGTGTGTGGGCTGCCGGGATTGTCTGGGCGGTGGGTCTGCTTCAGGGCAGGTGGCCTTGGGGGTGGCTGCAACGGCTGCTCTCGGGGTGACCCTGCCCAGGCTGGAGACTGGCCTGGGACTCTGGTCCAATGACCCAAAGAAGGGGAACTTGGAAGGAGGTTGAAATTGCCACTCTCGTTCCAGCTGGGCTCTGCAAAGCCGAGTTCTGTGCCAGAAAGCCCCATGCCTAGTCCGTTGGGCTTTTCCCCAGCAGTGCTGTGCATGGCCCCCAGGAGGCAACTTGAGAGCAGGGCGGAGGCCGTTAGCCGTGCATGAGCGTCCTGGCCCTGGTCCTCTGCTGGCGCTGGGGGTCAGCCTGCTCCCCTGTTACCCTCTGCAGCGCCCCCTCCTATTGAATTTGCCCCTGGGCTGGGCCTCCCCCACCCCACATTTTTGTGCCATAAAAGGTTGTTTCTTTGTGGGGGGGGGGGTGGCTGACATTAAAGTCCTGGCCTATTTCCACTTCCTAAAAGTCCACTTCTTGCATACCACCGCCACTGCTACAGCCCAGTGCCCGGTGGCTACATGCCACCTTCCTGTTCTCGGCAGCCCAGGGTGCTGGGTGCCCTGCCCAGGGGCCTTTTGATTGAGGGACCCTGTTGCCTACTCCTGGGCAGTGGTCTTGTCTCCTGACACCAGGTTTTTAGCATTTCTGAGGTTTGGAGATTAAGCGGGTTCTGTGCGATTTTTCAGCACATCCATATCTTTTCTACGTTGAATGTCTAGACCTTTTTTGTGTGTGCGTGTGTCTGTGTGTGTACGTGTATGTCCAAGTGTTTGCAGGTGGCAGTGGTACAGGGAACTCAGTCCTCGATTTCCCAGGCCAGCCGTGGACTCGTGGGTGGCACTGCAGCATGTCTGGGCCTGTGCCGCACCTGGTCCCTGTCCCAGCCCGGCCTGCAGCAAGAGGAGAACTGACTTGTGCTGGCGCCCCGTGGGGGCAGACCTCAGAGGTGCAGTTCAGTTCTAGGCACATCCTCACGCTTCGGTTGGAAAACCCATATTGTTCTTCCAATATGGAATGAGATTCTTGAGTTGCCCCACAGGCTGGCCAGAGGTGTGAGTTTTGTCACTGAACCTGTCCTTGGGCTCAGCGCTCAGGAGGCCAATGGCATCCTGGGCACATGGGCCCCGCACCAGCTGCTAAAAACAAAGCAGGAAGCGTGTGGTGCCTTCAGCGTGTGCTGGGCGCAGGGCAGCTGAGTTCCAGAGCAGCAGTTGCAGGCCTTGGTGTTGGGTGAGGGTCCTGAGCGGGCCCCCATGAAGAAACCACCCTAATGGAGCCCTGTAGGGTGGCTGGAACTAGATACATGGAACAGGAAGGCGGGGGGCTTCCTTTGTGGACCGAAGAGCTGCTGGACACAGGCATGTGGAAGGCACTCAGGAGGAGACATGGGAGCTGCAGGGGGCCCACCTCCAGGCTGGCCAGGGCTCTGTCCAGGGGGGCCCACCCCCTGGCGTCCTTGGGCAGAGGGCTGCCTGCCCCACAGTGTCTCCAGGAGCTGCGCTCTGCTGGAAGGCATTTGGGAGGGCGCCCAGGGGAAGCCATGGCCTGCCCGGCCGCCCCCAGCCTCCTGTCCAGTCACCACCGTTTGTAAGATCTGACTGCTCCACTGCCAACTCTGCCTGAGATTCTTGTGTCCCTGTGAGAGGCGGGTTTTCTGCCCCATCCACGCTGGGCCTCCAGAAGGACAGGTCAAGGTCTTGGGAGGGGCCTCCTCCCCCAGGACCTGATCCGCCTGGTGGAAGTGAGAGTGGACTCTGTACATTGTCTCAATGCCTGTTTTTTATGTTTTCCTTTCACTAAGGGTTTTTAGTTTGGGTTTCTTTTTGGTTGGGTTGGCACTAATCCTTAAGATGCTGTGAGAACCATTTCATCCAAATGCCAAATAAATTTGTGTTCTGGAAGAGGAGTAGTCAGTCCTTGGTGTGGCCCCAGTGAGGGGTGGGAGGCCCTGGCCAAGCTGGGGCCGGGGCATAGGCACACAGATGGGGGTGGGGGACATCTGTGGAAGCTAGGGGCAGGCTCGGGCTCTGAGACCCCTCTGTCCCTTTTTTTGTCAGGCAGTGGTCCTTTCAATAATTTCCTAATATGTGATCTGGGGGCAAGGGGGCACCCAGTGGACCTTGGGCAGGCCCTCGGGCCCACCTTCCTGACCCAGCCTCCTGGTCAGAGTGCTCCAAGCCGGGCTGGGGGGAGGGGAAGGGTTATGAAAGGACCTTTGCGGGGATTGGAGCTTCGAGGGGGTCGCATCTGCGGGACAGCGGTCTGTCCCAGGCACCCTGGACGCTGTCAGCACCATGGACAGCCCCGTACCGCTGGGTTTGGCGGCCCCCACCTCTGAACAGTGGGAAGAGCCCCGCCTCTGAGGACTGGAAAGAGTGCCCAATGCAGAGGAATCCCCCACCTCCTGCTCGCTCAACCCCTGGCCCAGTCACGCTCACACCGGAGGGCATGCTGGCGCCAGGGGTGGGGCTCTTTATCCAGACCAAGTCGCCTTCTCTCCTGGCCACACAGTAGAAGTCAGAGCCCCACTTTCCAGGAGAGCGATGTGAGGCTTGGGCCGCCTGGAAGTCGGGTCCCCACCTGGGCTGTGGCATCCCACAGACCTGTTGGTGAGGTGGTCCTCGGGAGGGGGCCGTGTGAGTGGAGCTCCATAGCACACCAGGTCTGCAGGGGGAGCCAATAAGCAGGAGAGCGTCTAGTCTTGGGGTGTCTCACACCCACAGTGGAAAAGAGAGATCCTCCTGCACCCCCCAACTCCAGCCCTTCAAGTCAAGGACACTAGGGTCCAAGGTGCCTTCCCCTGGGATTTCTCTCGTTGGTGGCCTTGCCATGTCATTTCTGGTCCGCAACCACCGTTTGTTTCCTCCTCTGTAAGTAGGCATCCTTTTTAGAGCTCCCACTCCCAGGATGGTTCACTGTTGGGGGTTGGGGGAGTCCACGGGAAGGTTTTAGCTCCAGGAAATGCTGACAGTTGCTGCTGGCACGTGGCCCTCGTGAGCCCCAAGCTCTTTTTGCCACGCTGTGGCCCTCGCCTGGGCACCACCCCGCCGACGGGCTCCAAGAGCCCACAGAACGTAGCCGCGCCCCTAGCCCACCCAACTAGTGAACATACAGCCACCTGGCCAAGCTGAGGGCTGGGACCCCAGGCTCACAGAGAATTTCCGCTGCAGCAGCCTCTGTGGGGCACAGGGCCTGGGCGTCCCCCAGCACCACCCCTTTTCCGGCCCCAGGCCCTCCCGCCTGGGCTGTCCTGGTCCTGGGCCCCCGCCGTGGCTCTGGCAAGGCCCTGGAATTCAGACTCGACCTTGTTCCTGCAATAAGCTACACCTAAAGTGACCCTGGCCTCATGTGGCTGGAGACAGGAGCGTGGGGGTAGGGGTTGGAACACTGCCTCTCCCATGGAACTGGGGTTCTTCACCACGCAGAGGCCGTAGTATGCCTGTTCATACAAGGGGGAGACCCCCGAGTGACCTGTCACAGCTGGCCTCAGAGCCCTACCCAGAACCCCCAGACCTGCCTCAGAGGAAGTTGTCCCCACTCCCGACCTACACATTATGTCTGAATCCTCCGGTCAGATGGAAAGAGAAAAGCTAGCAAGTTCTAAAAGCACCACCTGCTAAAGCCTAAGAACACACATTTTATTTCAAAAACAAGCCGGCCCCCACCCCAGCTCACGGGTGAGACGTTAAATGAAGACCCCAGGCGATGTTTTTGGAGGCCGGGAAGTGAGAAGTGCTGGTTCCAGGCCCCGCCCAGGCTGCCCCGGGGGGTGGGTCCGGCGCCAGGCCGCTGGTGAAACTGCAGCCGGTGCTGCTCTGGAAGGTTAGGCTGCGGTGTCTGAGTGCATGTGACACTTTCTGAAGAGACTCGTGACCAGGTGACTGTGGCGAGGCTAAGTGAAGGGGTCAGTGTCCGAGGTGTCACTGTCCAAAGCAAAGCTAAGGCTGCAGGGGTGGCGATCCCGGGCCACGCTGTCCTAACGGGAGGCTGGGTCCTGCAGCCCATAGAGTGAAGCTGGCCAGGTCAGGGTGCTGTCCAGTTGGCTCCCTGTGGCATGTGGTTTTATTATCGGGGAGACACTGATCTGAGTGATACTGTGTCCAGGTGACAATGTCCTGGCAGCCCACCTGTCCCTGGTGTCTGCTGCTTGCTGTGCGGGTCATACTTTTTATCCCAGTGCACGGAGGCCCTGCCTTCTCCCCAAGACCCTTAAAGAAGAAAAAAACCTGCAATCCCTCGCGCTAGCCCAGGAGTCCCGCCTGCCACAAGCCTTTGGCTCTCTCCCCAAAAGCTGACATACCCCAAGACCAGATCTTCCGCCGCTCTAAGGCCAAAAGGGGCTCCCCACCGCTTCCAGGCCGGACTCGGTCCCCAGGAGTGACCGCTGCGCTGAGCCACCCGCACTTCCCAGGCGCCGTCCGACCGCCACACCCCAGCACCGGAGCGCTAGCGGGCAGCGTCGCAGGACCCTTCCTCTCCGACCCAGTCCCTCGAAGGGGCAGATCTGTCCATTCGCGCCTCTGGCCAGTGGCGCCTCCGGCCCCGCACTTGGTCCATCCTCGGTGCGGCCTCCTTCAATCCTCGCCGTCCTGCGAGGCCCCGGGGATCACCGGCGTCTTCTTGAGGTTCTTCCGGGCCGGGGCCCGGCTCGCGGCGCCATTGGCGGGGCCGTCCGAGGCGTCGTCGGTGGGCCCGGTGACGGCGGCCAGGGCGTTCACGGCGCCGAGCGCCCGCAGCAGGCCGGGGCCGCGGGGCGCGGGGCGGGAGTCGCGGCGGGCCGGCGGCGGCTGGGGCGGGGGAGGCAGAAGCGCGCGCAGGGCGTCCAGCTCAGCCCGCAGCTCCCTCCGCAGCGCTTCCAGCCCGGCGCCCAGCTCCGCACGCACGGCCGCCAGGCCCTCCTGCAGCCGCCGCTCACTCACTTCCAGGACGCCCGCTGGGTAGGTGGCCCCGAAGCGTGGCTCCCCGCACACCGAGCACACAGAGCCTCGGCTGCGCGTGTCCTCCCGCTCCCCTGCTCCCACCTCTCTGGCCCCTGCCCCAGCCGCTGCCCCCGCGCGCTCCACCAGCCGCAGCAGCCGGGGAGCGTCGGCCCGCGCCTCCGCCCCTGCCCGGATCTGGCCCCGCAGGCGAGCCAGGCGGCCCGGGGCGTGGGCCTCTTCGGGGACCGGCCCATTGGGCTGAGGCCCCGGCTCCCGCCGGCGGTCCACGCCGCGCCGCATTGCCGTGCTCGCGCCGTACGCGCTGCGAGCCTGGGCCCATGAGCGCCTGGACTCCGCCGCCATGCGCGCGCGCTGTTTGCCGCCAGCTCCCGGCTCGCCCGGGAGCCCCAGTCCGCAGCCTAGCGACCGCTGGGGCCCCGGCAACACGCGGTGGAGAGGACCCTCGGGACAACTGTGGGAACATCCGAGGCCTCGAGGGCCCCTGCCTGGGGCCGAGTGAACCCGGCAAGGCCCAGACCCCAGAGGGCCCTGCGAGGAGCAGCGGCGCAGGCGTCAGAGTGTGGAACTTGTCCGCGGGGACGTCCCGCTGCTGGGTCCCAACAAAGGGCTTGGACCAGCTTCTGGGCAGAGGTGACAGGAACCGAACTCGCACCCTCTACATCACAGTCAGGGGAAAGCAAGTGTGGTCACGGACCCAGTAGCCCTCCTTTCTGGCTAGAGCCACCTCCTTCCATGCCACAGTCCAGGCCACTATTATCTCGCTACTCGTCCCCCGGAGCCCACACACTGCTGCGGGAACCCTCCTTGTCGTGGGCGCTTCCATTCAAGCTCTTCGGGGTCTGCGTTGCTCTCCGCGGTGCCCTGCCCGCAGGAGGCGCTGGAGGTCGCAGACCATCTCACTCTTCTGTTTGGCCACATCTTGTTTAACCTCCTCTAACCCAATAGCCTTCTGCTCCCCTCTGGGTCTTTGTTCAGGTGGGTTCTCCTGCCCGAAACGTCCCCCCACCTCCGCTTGCGTGGCCAATCGCGTTCATCCCGCTTCTGCCTGCCAGTCTTCCCTGACCAACCCTACCCCAACCAGGTAATCAGGCCCCTCCCCCACAGCACCCCTCACAGTGGGTTTAAGTGGCTCTCTGTTCTCTGTCCACCTGGATCCCAGGAAGAGTCAGTCCCTGAGCACAGGCGTGGATCATGCGGCACTCAGTGGTGCTAATCGTGCTGAATGCTGGGTGCAGGAGTAGGTGGGTGAAGGAGACTAGGGTTGAGGGTCCTCTGTGGGGTGGGCTTCCTCACCCCCTGTCCCACCCACCCAGGGCAGCCTGTGCACCTGCTGGCCTGTGAGGCACTTAGAGCCATCCCTGCCGCCTTTTCTGCCACTGCCACATTCTGTGGGAGCCCCTCATCACTGCACCCTGTCCTTTTGCACCCTGTCCTTTTGCACCCCAGTGCCTGGTGCCTTCCGTGGGCAGTGCAGCTGGGGGCCCTCTGGAGGGCAGTATTCCCACCCAGCATGTTGTCCTCACTGCACCCTAGAGGCTAGTTAAGACTCTGGGTGCCATGGGGCCTCCCCAGCAATTGTGGAGAGGGAGGGCCTGGCACAGATCCAGGCGGGCCGGGATCCCAGGGCCCACGGGGGCCTGGCCTCAATTCAGCTCCCGGGGTGGGGGGATGCTGTGGGCCCCGTTTGTGGGCACACCCAGCTCCAGCCAGTGCAGAGGCCTGTGTCCCCTCTGTTAATTTACCCTCTCATTTGTTCACTGCAGCCTGTCTCTCTGGAAGGGGCAGAGGAGGTGAGAGCCTGGCCCTCGGTCAACCCCTCACACTACCCCAGTCCTGCTGAGTCACCTGGCCTGCTGGGACCTTGGGCCTCTGGTTCTACAGATCCCTTGAGCCTCATTAGCCACCCCCTGCTCCCTCCCCCAGTAATTAAAATACTGCGGGCCAAAGAGCCAGGATTCCCTCCTGGCCTGCGGGGGCCAGGCTGTGACCTGAGGGCTCTCTGAGCTCATCTCTGAGCTCATCTCCCCTCTCTGTGCTCAAATGGAGTCCTCATCTGTGAAATGAAGGAGACCCCTAAGGTCCCCAGGAGGGGTCGACAAGGAGGCTGGGAGTGTGGGGGAGGGCCCGGGAGAGTCTCCAGATTTGCTGACCAGCAGATGCGGCTAGAGAGCAGGGAGGGAGGGGCGAGGTCAGGCTGCCAGGGCCCCTGGAAGCCTGGGCAATCGGAGGCTTTGTTGTCTCTGCCTGTGAGGCGGATGGGAGCCAGCGTGGGTGATAGGAACAAAGCCTTTGCTGGGAGTTCAGGTTCCACCGGGGCTGCAGGCTTGTGGTAAAGAGTCCCAAAGCCACGAGCATGGAGAAGACATTGCCCAGGAGCAAGGAGAGAGTTGGGAGGGCTGCCAAGGTATCAGTGAGGGGGGTTCAGGCAGGTGTGGCCAACACAACCCTGGAGCCACTGAGGTCAAATGCAATCAGGGGGGAGGGAGAAGGAAGTCATGACCTGGCCTGAGCTTCATGAGTGGAGGGGCTGGAGCAGAAGCTGAGGACTGGCAGTGAGGAGGTGGGTTGGGAGCCCTCCTCCTGGCTGGCTGCTTAGAGCTGAGGTAGGCACAGTCCCTACGGGGCAAGAAGCGGGGACAGAACTGCCTTCAGGTTCTGCCTGGAAGCTTCTCACGGCCCACAGCTGTCTGCACGCTCACTGGGGCCCAGTGCAGGGCCCAGCTCCTCCCCAGTGTCATTCCCTGTCTCCGTTCCCGGGGCCAGGCTGGCGGTGGGGTGGGCAAGCCGGCTGTGTCTGTGAGAAGCCATCAGCACCCAGGACTGGCCCCAGCCGGCACCCCGCATTCAGGCCATTCAGGCCTTGCTGCTCATTAACCCCTCAACAGTGGGGGCCTCAGCAGCGCAAAGGAGAGAAAGCTCCAAGGCTCTGCCTTTGTCTGGAGAAGAGAGGCAGTCCCTCCATATGACTGCCCTTGCCCTCTGTGGCCATTAAACCCTGGCAGCCACCTGGACAGGAGGTCTTACTTCCTGAACCCGAGAGCAGCTGGGAGCCAGGGGAGAATTCAGCAGGCAGGGCCAGGCAGGCTTTGCATGTTAAGGGGCTCTGGCGGCCGAGAAGGGGCAGGGGAACAACTGGTGTGACTGTTGCCTCAGTCATCAGGGTGAAACTGAAAAAGTGGGTGTTTGAGCTGCCTGTCACCACCAGAATCAAGAAGCAGAGACAGGGACTGAATCTGTATGGATGCTTTATTCAGAGGGCCAGCAATCTAAGAAGGTGGCGGGTCATGTACCCTAACAGATCATCTTACATCTCATTTTGAGCCGGCGTTTTTTTATAAGGAAAAGCAAGGCGTAGGGAAGGGGTTTGGAATTCCGGAAAAAAGTAGGGAAGGGGTTTAGAATTCAGGGAAAAGGCTAATCCGCTAAAAGCTGTAGTCGGGATTTTCCTAACGTCCTTTCACCTGCTGACCAGTGATTCTTTATCTCATCCTGGTCGGCTGGTGTTCCCTCCCTGGAGCACAGTGACTCAGATGCCTTTTTGCTCGCTTGCAGTCCTCCTGGGGCACAAAGGTCGAATTGCAGGGGTCTCCTAGAGTCAGGGTGGGTCCAGTCTCACATTTCATTTCCTGAAACAATAGCTCTTTACATGCATTAATTATCAAGCCCATTGACTGTAACATAAAACTACAAATTTTTAACTCCTTGAGTTCCCCTATCCAGGAGCACCTGGAAACACAGATTCCCCAGGTCCCCCAACCCCACATGGTCCTTTAGGGCACCCGGCCTTCCTCTACTCCAGCCGCCTGCACACCAAGCTCAGCTCACCCGGTTCTCAGTGAAGCGGGGGATGTAGGGATGAGCGTTGAGGTCCCTGGAGCCGGCCGGGCCGCACGCTGGCAGGCTCTGAGGGCTGGTGTGAGAAGGGGGCACATTGGGCGGGGAGGGGCCCAAAGGGTGAGCTGGATGGGATCTCTGTGCAGGTCACAGGTTCTCGGACCTGCCTCCAAAAGGGACCCCCTGGGAGAGCGGGGAATATGGTCTGCCCTGAACAGTCGGCCACCAGGGTGGGGTAGGGGTTAGTCTTGGATCTGGTGCTGGAAGGGGTGGGGTGGGCTGAGGGTCTGGGGTTAGGGTCTGCCGCTGTCACTTTTGGTCAGGGACCCTGACCCTCAGCACAGACTCTCAAGTGTGCGCGCCTGCCCGTGCTCCACTGCAAGTGTGCTGCTCGCTCCAGGGGGTGGACTGGCTGGGCCTTTGGAGGGGGAGCGAGTGAGGCCAGCTTGGCTGGGGCCTGGGCCCTGTGCACTGGGCTCTCAGGAGGAGAAGGCTGCCGTGCCGTTTGAGTCCCCAAAGTGCAGGCCATAGGGCGGGGCCTCAGCCGACTCAGCCAGAAGGTCTGGCTCGTGCCATTGCTCAGGACTCCGTTCGGGGTGAGTTCTTCCTGTGCTACTTCTGGCCACCCCCGTTGCCTCACCTCAGTTTCCTTGCCTTTCACATCCCAGGATGAGACTGCTGGCCAGGGGAAGACAAGAGTGGCAGAGATGGCAGAGGCTGGGAGCACATGCAGTGGCTGGAGGCCTGTGATCTAAAGGGCAGGTCTGCCTACTCTGGAAGGCCCTACTGCCTGGCCCCCTGAGCTGCAGATGGCCTGTCTTTTCAAGAAGGGGCCAGAGAGCGGAAGTGACTCACTCTCGGTCTTATCGCAGGGTGGGCTTCTGCGGGGGCTGGGCTCAGGAGGCCCCGCTGCCCACCAGGCCCTGGAACAGGGCGCTGGCCTCCTGGAGAACCCAGGCGTTCCCTGAGAACTGTCCTGGGGCGGGCGGCTTCTGTGGGAGGGCACTTCATTGCCTGGTAATGGCCTTGCCTGACCTCAGTAATGAGCTCATTATCTGATAATGACCCTGTTTTCCTGGTCCTGGCGTCAGCAGCCCTAGAACGTCTGCCCTGAGGTGGCTCTGACCAGTCTGGGCCATTGCTTTCTAACTACCTCAGCCAGGGCACCAGGCCTGCCAGCCTCCGGTGTCCCCTGAGGGCCCAGACTCAGCTTCCAGTGGGACAGTCCTGAGTTCCTGGCTGTCTCCCTGCAGCTGCACAGCCTTGGGCAGTTAGGCCTTTAACCCTCCTGCTCTCCTGCTCTCAGTCACAGAAGGGGCAAAACAGCGTCTGTGCGTGGCAGAGTGGGGAGGGCTGCCTTAGAGGGACATGCCCGGCCCACGTGGGGGTCCTCAGGCCCCCCTTCTCCTGACAGCTGGGCTGGTCTCGTGTCAAGGCCGTCCTCATGACCATCGGCCCCTGGATTGACCACATCCTGTCATTCCTGGTGTAGGGTTGGGAGGAGCATCCTTGAGCGGAGTCAGCCTGCTCCATTAGGATCCCCTCCACCTCCCTGCGGCTGAAGATCACTGCTCTGTTGTCTTCTTTGGTCCCTTAGCACTGAGGCAGCTGGCGTGCCCTCCCGGTTCCTCCTCCCATGCCACCCCTCTTCACTGGGCCACCAAACCCTCGCCTGCCTCACTTCTCCAGGCCTTGGGCTTCACCCTTGCCCTCTCAAAGCAAGCCTCTTAAACCTGTCTGATTAGGGCCCTGGCCGTAACTAGTTGGTTAGGAGGTGAGTTGTTGATGATAATGCAAAGTAATGGAAAGCGATGTTTCTCTTGTCTCTCTCTCTTTCTAAAAAGCTGACAAAGCTCACTAAACTTATGTTAAAATTACTTTATACTTCAGTTCCCCCATTGAAATTTCTTTCATTATAGAGATTTAGCATCTTTGATTGATTGCAGGCTAAGAAATAAGAAATGGAACCAAAGATTCAAATATGAAGCAAATTATTTCTGAAGAGTTTTCCCATAGGATAGTAGAAAAAGTCAAATCAGTTGACATTTTGTATTCCTCAAATGAAGTCTCAGATTTGAATGACTATAGGGAATCATTGGAGAATCCACCCAGTTCAAGTGGAATCATATACTATGCGTTCTTCTGTGACTGGCTTCCTTCACTTAGCATAATATTTTCAAGGTTCATTCATGTTGTAGCATGTATCAATACTTTATTTCTCTTTATTGGTGGATAACATTCCATTGAATATTCCACATTTTATTTATTCATTAATCATTTGATGGACACTTGAGTCATTTCCCCTTTTTGGCTCTTATGAACAATGCTGCTATAAACATTCAGGTCCAAGTTTTGGGTGGACATATGTTTTCATTTATCTTAGACATATTCCTAGGAGTGGAATACAGGTCATATGATAACTCTATTTTTAACCTTTTGAGGAAATGCCAGACTGTTTTTCAAAGCATCTAAATTATTTTCTATTCCCACCAGCAGTGGATAAGGGATCTGATTTTTCCACATCCTTGTCAACACTTGTTATTTTCTCTCTTTTTTGATTACAGGCATTCTAGAGGATGTGAGGTGGTATGTCATTGTAGTTTTGTGCGTTTCCCTGATAGCTAATGATGTTGAGCATCTTTGCATGCAACTTCATTTTTACAGCATTTTTCCTGACTGTGCCCTAGGTCTAATCTTTGCCTATGGGTCATTTCTTAATTTCAGCATCCTATCTGAGGAGGCTGGGAATTTTCAAACCCAGCAAACCCTGACTTTTTGTTTCTGACCTTTTCTGGTTCCAAAGTTTCTCGCACATTTGACTTTTCATTTTCATAGCATCCTATTTTCAAGGACTGGAATTAGTTTCTGCATTAATTATATACACTACTTTTATCTTTATTTGTTATCTATTGCTGTACAACAAATTACCCCTAAATGAATGGCTTAGAACAATAAACTTATTATTGTATACCACGTCTGGTATCCTGCATTGTTCTGGCTCGAGGTATCTCATAAGGTTGCAGTTAAGATGTCACTGGGGATTGGAGTGTCCGCTTCCAAGATTAATCCCTCTTGTGGGTGGCAAATTGTTGCAGTTTCTTGCCATGTGGACCTCTCCACAGACTGCTGGAGTGTCCTTAGGATGTGGTGTTGGCTTCCCCAAGAGTAACTGATCCAAGAGAGCTAAGCTGAAGCTGCAATCAATGTCTTTATGACCTAGCTTCATGATTTACATACAAGCATTTCCACAATATATTTTTCTTTTTTACACAAGTCAGTCATATTCATTGTGGGAGATGCTACACAAGGGTGTCGATACCAGGAGACAGGATTTATGGGGGCAATACTGGAGGCTCGCCGCCACAGCAGGGGAGGCCTGGGCACGGCTGTGGTGTGCTGACGCTGGCTGCATAGAGCCTGTGGCCAAAACTGAGCCTGGGGGTCCGGGTGAGTGTTAGAGCACTGTGTCAGGTTGGGCCACTACACAGACTCTCTTTCCCTAGCTCCTGAGGGTGGACGAACGTCAGGGCCACCGGTCTGAGAGCAGAGCTGGAGCTTTACCTTCTCCTCCCCTAACCCCCACCGGGATCTCCAAGTGCCCCTCTCCAGAAGGGGCAAGGTCCCTGGACAGGTCGCTGGAAAACCCACTAACAGCCCACCCACGGCCTCCAGCATCCCTAGGGGCGGGGACCTGAGCCTTTCTGCAAAAATGGTAATTGGCCAGAGGCAACCTGACTCCAAGGGAGACACCCACACACTGATAGGACAATTCCACGTTCCTGGGCACCTTCCTCTGGAGACCCCTCCAAATAGATACGCAGCGACCCAGCACTCACCCACAGACTGACCCACACACCCCAGATACTGCCACGGGGCGGGGGACAGCGATTGGGGCGGGACGAAGTGCAGGGTTTCTGGCCCCGGAACTACATTTCCCAGAAGCGTGTAACTCATCGGGGCCGGAACGTCATAGCGGGTCAGGTGCCCCGATGCTCTCTGGGAAACGTAGTACGCTGCCTGCTTGGCGCAAAGACGCCGGGGAGTAGTAGTTTGCGTCCATCCCGCGCAGGCGCACTTTCCCACGGCGACCGCTGGGTTGCTCCTTTGTTGTGGCCGTTGTCCTTTTGTGGGAGGCCGGTGGGCTCGCTCAAGTATCCGTCCGTCCATCGGTCTGTCTGTCCGTCCGCCCCGGAGCCAGATTGCTGGCCGCTTTCCGCGCCCACTGACTCCGGGTGCTCCGGGTAGCTGAGCCCCAGGCCTGCCTGGCCCCGCGCGTGGTCCCCGGGAGGAGTGTGTGACAGGCTGCGTGGGGCGCGGCGATGGGGCGTGCGCGCAGCCTGGGGTGCGGGGCTCCTGCTGAGCCTGCCTGGCCCCGACCTCGGCGGGGCGCAGGGCCAGTGTGACCTTGCAGCCAGGAGTGCACGCGCAACCCCGCGGGGCTCCCATACAGGCCGCTGTCCCTGAGCCCCAGGAGCAGGACCCTCTCTCTGAGCCTGGCCTGGGGCCCAGGAGGCTGCAGAGCTGCCCACGCCTCCGGGGGAAGCTGCCAAGGGCCGCCATGGAGACCCCTGCCCCGAAGCCCCAGGAGACAGGTACAATCGGCTTTTAGTCAGTGGGTCTGTGGGTTTGCAATTGAGACTGACCCTCAAGAGAGGTCAGGCTAGTTTCCCAGAAGCACCAGCAGAATCAGGCGTCCTGCCTCTTCACCGTGCAGAAGCCACTGTCTTGAATATGCTGATGAGAGGAAGGAAATGGCAATGTTTTTCCCTTTTAGTTGGAGTGCCTGACACTGAGTGGCAGAATTAACCCCTGATGCTGTATAAGATTGTGCCAGATATTGGGGCTCGCACCCCACTCCATCTGAGGGGGCGTTTCCTGACTCCTCTGATTCTCGCGGGTCCTGGGTCCCGGGGGTGGAGTGCCTGTGGGGTTCTGATGGCTATGGCTGAACAGCCCCCTTTACTCATTTCTCCTTCCCAGCTCTGTCCTCTCAGGACCCTGCGCTTCCTCTCAAAGAGATTCCAGAGAATAAGTTGGGTCAGGGGCTCCTGGCAGCCAGATCCGAGGTAAGTGGCTGTCTTTTCTTCCTCCTGAACATCCTTATGGAGAGGGTCCGCAGCTTCCTTCCCCTGCCCAGGATCTTCAGTCATTCAAGATCCACTACCCCTCGCCCCCGGCACCTCCCACCCTGGTCTGGGGGCTGCTGTTGTCTTCAGAAAGCCCTGGACAAGTGATGAGTTACATTTTTTAAAAAAAGAAAAGAAAAAAAAAAAGCAGCCTTGGGAACAGCTCCAGTTGAAGAGAGTCCAGGTGATGCCCCAGGGGTGCCCTCAAGACGAACGCCCCTTCCAGCTCCATTCGGTTTAACGGGTGGGTCAGTGGCCCGCACTGTGCCGGGAGCTCTGAAGAGTGGTTTTGGTGGAGCCCCAGCAAGTCGGTGACACGAGATCACTTTGCTTATCTCCACTTGAAGACGCAGGCAGTGTTTGTGGTGGTTGCTCCTTGTTTGGGGGGGTTTCTGGTGTAGAACCTGGCATGGAACAGCTGAAGGAGGGGCTGCGTTGCAGTGGGGGGTAAAGAGTGGCAGCAGGGGGTGCGCCTCTTTGGGCTTTTCCTCTGTACTGGGCCCCTGACATGGGGACTTCGTGGGAAACCTGGAGTTTTAGAGCATCTGGGAGCTCAGCGAGGGATGGACCCTGGGGCCACTTCTCCAGCTAAGCAGGGTCCAGGTCCGCCCTTTACAGAATTGGGGTTTTGTTCTACCACCTAAAATACCGCTGCTCATCACACTGTTTAGAAAGTTACAGTTGATAAGGAGAGTGTGGGGCGGCCTCTTCAGCTTTCTTTTGATTCGTGTTTATAGGGTTTATATTTCCCCATTCTTTCACTTTTTAAGTCTCTTTGTCTTCGTATTTAAAGTGGGTTTCTGAAGCTGGCATGTAGTTTGGTCTTACTTTTTAAATTCAGTTTGACCATCTCTAATTTTTAATTGGAGTTTGACCATTCATATTTCATTTAATTATGGGTATGGCTGGATTTACATCTGATATTTTGCCATGTGTTTTCTACCTGTCTTGTCTTTTTTTATTACTTTTTTTTTTTTAATTTTCTTAAATGTTTTCTCTTAAACACTTTTTTCAGGTACAGTTAACATTCAGTTTTATTGTATATCAGTTTCAGAAGTACAGCATAGTGACTTGACATTTATATAATTCAAGAAGTGCCCCCCCCACCCAATTAGGGCCCATACCCACCTGGTACCATACATAGTTATTACAATATTATTGACTATATTCCTTATGCTGCAGTTGACATTCTGTGACTATTTTGTAACTACCACTTGTATTTCTTACTCCCTTTTCACCCAGCCCCCCAACCCTCCCATCTGACAAGCCTCAGTCTGTTCTCTATCTATGAGTCTGCATCTGAAACTAATACAGAATAATATTGAATGTAAAAAATATTTTTTAAGTGAAATCATGGTATTTATCTTTCTCTGTCTAACCTATTTCACTTAGTGTAATACCCTCTAGGTCCATCCGTGCTGTCACAAATGGTAAGATTTTATTCTTTCTTATGGCTGAATAATAGTTCGTTGTGTACAGGTACTACATCTTCTTTATCCACTTGTCTATTGATGGGCACTTCGGTTGCTTCCATATCTTGGCTATTGTAAATAATGCTGCGATGAACATTAGGGTGCATATTTCTTTTCAAATTAGTGTTTTAGATTTCTTCGGATAAGTACCCAGAAGTAGAGTTGCTGGGTCATAAGGTAGTTATAGTTTTAATTTTTTGAGGAACCTCCATACTGTTTTCCACAGTGACTGCACCAATTTACAATCTTACCAACAATGCATGAGAGTTCCCTTTTCTCTACATCCTTACCAACACTTGTATGTTGATTTATTGGTAGCAGCCATTCTGACATACATGTGCGAAGTAATATATTGCTGTGGTTTTAATTTGCATTTCCCTGAAGATTAGTGATGTTGAGCATCTTTTCATATGTCTATTGACCATCTGTATGTCGTCTTTGGAGAAATGTCTATTCAAGCCCTCTGCCCATTTTTTAATTGAATCGTATGGGTTATTTTTTGTTTTTTGTTTTAGTTTTGTGTGTGTGTGTGTGTTAAGTTGCATGAGCTCTTTACCAATTTTGGATATTAACCCCTTATTGACTGTATCACTGACAAATATCTTTTCCCAATCAGTAAGTTTTCTTTGCTGTGCAAAATCTTTTTAGTTTGATGTAGTCCCAGATGTTTACTTTTCTTTTATTCCCTTGCCTGAGCATATATATCCAAAAAATATTACTGAGAGCAATGTCAGAGAGTTTACTGCCTGTATTTTTCTTCTAGGAGTTTATGGTTTCAGGTCTTACAGTTAAGTCTTTAATCCACTTTGAGTTTATGCTTGTATATGGTGTAAGAAGGTTGTCTAGCTTGATTTTTTTGCATGTATCTTTCCAGTTTTTCCAAAACCATTTATTGAGGAGATTGTCTATACCCTATTGTGTATTCTTGCCTTCTTTGTCATAGATTAATTAACCATATAGTCAAGGGTTTATTTCCAGGCTCTCTATTCTGTTCCCTTGATCTATGTGTTGGTTTTTATAGTATAGTTTGATATCAGGTAGCATGATACCTCCAAATTTATTCTTTTTCTTTTTTTTTAAGGATAGGGCATTTTGCATATTACCTCATTTATTTATGTGTTTGTTTACTTAGAGGGAAAGATGGGAGAAAGAGAAGAAAAGAAACATTCATGTGGGAGAGAAATATTGATTGGTTGCTTGTGGTACACACCCTGACCAGGGACTGAACCCTCAACCCAGGCATGTGCCCCGACAGGGAATGGAACCGCCAGTCTTTTGCTTTGCAGGATGATGCCTGACCAACTGAGCCATACCAGTTAGGGCCAAATTTATTCTTCTTTCCAAGATTGCTGTGGCTCTTCAGGGTTGTCTTGTGTCTTTTTTTATTCTATTTCTCCCTAAATGCCATCTTTTGGAAGTAAAAAAATAGTATTTTAATAGACTCTTACTTCCTCTGAATTTATGAACTTGTTTTTCCTTTTAGTCACTTCACTGGATGCTAGCTATTGTGAATTTTACTTTGTTGAGTGTGAGGGTATTTTTAATTTCTTTTATTTTTTTTAAGAGAAGGGGAAGGGAGGGAGAAAAGAGAGTGAGAAACATCAACGTGAAAGAGAAACATAGATCAGCTGCCTCTCGTATGCACTCCAACCGGGACCGAACCTGCCACCCAGGCCAGTGCCCTGACCAGAAGTCGAACTGGCGCACTTTCCCTTTGTGGGACGATGCCCAACCCACGGAGCCACACTCATCAGGGCTTGGACTTTCTTAAGGATTTCTGGGATTTGTTTGGGGATGCAATGTAATGACTTAGTATCAGTTTGATCCTTTAAGGCCCGCTTTTAGGTTTTGTTAAGGTGGGTGCAGAGAAGCCATCGTCTCAGGCTAATTTCGGCTCACCGCTGAGAGGGCATCTTTCTGGGGACTTGACTCAGCGCCTGCACAGCAGGAGGACGTTCCACCCTGGCTGAGTGGCGCACAACCCTTCCCAGCCCCTAGTGCGTTTTAGTGATTGCTCCGCCTACTTCCTCCTGGCGTTTCTTTCCCCTTGTTTGGGGTGGTTTGCTCCAGGCACGTGCCCAGCAGCCCTGTCAGTCTCAAGTGCGCCCACAGCTCTGAGCCTGTGCAGCTCCCTCCGCTCTGGCACTTCGCCCTGCAGAGTTTAGTCTCCTGCTCTCTCCAAACTTGGTCCTCTGTCCCGTCAACTCCAAAGACCACAGGCTCTGTCCGAGTTCCCTCCCCTGACACTGCAGGCTGGAAACTGGGTGCAGGCGGGAAGGTGGGGCGGTTGTAGGGCTCACTTTGTTTCCCGTCGCAGGAGGCTTCTCTGAATTGCTCCTTGCTTACTGTCTGGAAATCAACCATTGTTTCTTATGTTTTGCCCAGTTTACTGGTTGTTTCAAGTAAGAGAGCACATCTGGTTTCTGTTACCCTTTTGTGGCTGGAAGCAGAACAAGAAACCCGGGTTTTCCCAAGCTGCTGCTCAACTCTCCCTGCCTTTCATCTGTCCTGCCTCTCGCAGAATACAAATACCGTCACCTGGGCTAGATGACTTCTGACTCTGGTCACAGCGGCGCCTCCCACTGCTCCGACGTCCCTCACACTGTGGGAGCTCCCCCACACCCCGCTCCTCTGCATACTCAGCTCACTCTGCTGCCTCGCCCAACGCACCCCACCTCTGTGCCCCCGTCCGACCCCCACTGCAGTCTTCCCCTCCTCTAATGCCTGAGACAGCAGGTGTCCCTGTCAGGACTCTGGAGGCAGCGCAGGCTGCTGTTGCTTCGCTTCTCGTAGTGACAGGAGCAGGGTCTCCAACCTCCTGGCCTGCCCAGCCAGAGGGGTGCGAGACGGCCGCGAGGGGCTGGCCGGCCCTGGGCCCTTTCTTGTATTCAGCACTGGTCTGCTCGCAGCTCGTTTCATTCAATCTTCCCCGAGCCCTGAAGGCCCGGTGTTCTCACTTCATTCCCTGCGCAGAGAAGCTGAGGCTCAAGGAAGCTGAGTGGCCAGGCCAAGATGGGGAGGTCAGTTCCCGCTCCGCTTGGGTTTTCCTTCTTCATTGAAAAATAACTTAATTTACAAAAACTGTTTGCTGTGTGACAAGTTGGCAATCTGTTAATGATCTCCCTTCCCCGTACAGACAAGTCTCATTTCCCTGGGGCGGTCAGTGTCCTCAGCTTTGACATTTATTCTTCCACATCCCTTTGTTCACGTAAACAGACTCAGCCATGCACAGACATAGAGCTTAAACATGTTTCAAAAATGGAATCATATTGCGCACATTCCAGTGCTTCCCTTTGTCTTTATTGAGATATAATTCACACACCGTAAAATCCACACTTTCCAAGTACACAGTTGAGTGGTTTTTAGTATATTCACAAAGTAGTCCAACCATCACCCCCATCGATGTTAGAACATTTTCCTCACCCCAGAAAGAACCTCGATACCCATTAGCAGACACTCCCTGTCCCCGCCCCCTGCCCCGCCGCAGCCCTCAGCAACCACTACCGTACCTTGTATCTCTATTCGCTTATTCTGGGCATTTCATTCAAATGGGATCACGCACTATGTGGCCACCTTTGTCTGGCTTCCTTCACTTCCCATAGTGAACTGTGCTTTCCTTTGGATGGCTGCATCATCTTCTATGGTCTGCCCACATGCCTGGGCCCTAATTTAGGAAATCATTCTAACGCCGTGAGTTGGTTGGCTTTTGGTAAGCATGGCTCTGCAGTATCCAACCTCACGTTCGCTTCCTCCTGTGCAGGAACTCTCGTTCCTTTGGTTTAAACACCCAAAAGTATACAGCGGCTCCTACTCCTGCCAAAAGTGCTTTCTTGTTGCCAGGCTACCAAACTGGTTTCTCGGGTTTGAATTAGTTCTTTTCTGACAGGTAAAAAATGTTCCCTAATTTTTGTTTTGATTTACATTTTCCTGAGACAAATCACTTTTTTTTTTATAAGTCCATTGGAAATTTACACTTCTTCCTCCTTGAATGGCTTTTTCTTATTTTTAAATTTTTGAAACATTTAAAACAGAAAAATAATAACCTATGTATCTACTTTGCAAACTTAACAAATGTCTAAATTTTGTCATATTTGCTTCCAATCATTTAAAAACTAAACTATTGCAGGTAAAGGCAAAGCACTTGTGCCCTCTCCCCTCTCCGCCTCCTGCCTTCACCTGCCGGACAGTGTCAGAGGAGATGACCAACAACAAACACCAGAGGGCACTCACACGCAGGAGTAACACATTTAATCCTCACCGCAGTGCAAGGACAGGTGCTGTCAGCATCTCGAGTCACAAGCAGGCCACTGAGGTGCCCTTATGCCCACGTAGCTAGTGAGAGCAACAGCTGGGAGCCCCGCGCCTCCCCGCCACCCCTGCTGGGGCTGCCGTGCTCAGAGCCTGTGCCCTTACCTGCCAGACGGTGGAGCTAGAGGCACATCTGAGTATTTGTAAACTCCATGCGGTACTGTGGGTAGTTCTAGATGGTTCTGTGAGGCGCATCACAGTGGGTGTGTTTCCCTCAGTCTGCTTTTGTGCCCACTGCTGTGCTCTCGAGAGACCCCCAGGGGTCGGGTTTATCCGTCCGCCCTGCTCCTTTTCCCCGCCGCCCAGTCTGTTTCTGTCTGCGTCCCAATGGGCGTTCAGTCTGTCTCCGGGGTGTTCTCGGTCACTCCGGGCTGGGCAGGAATTCCACCGTGGACTCTCGAGGCCCCAGTAGCTCACCCTCTCAGCTTCACCAGAAATGCTAAAACGGATGCTTCCCCACCACACACCTGCCCAAAGGTGTCTCTCGTTTTTATTTTTCTTAGTGATTTGTCAGCACTCCGTGCAGAAAATGTAAACTTTCGTGGAGCGAATGTAAATCTTCTCTTCATGGCTTCTGGGTTTCCTGTCTTGGGTCTGCCACCCAAGGCCTCACAGAATTGTCCCCAGATGTCTCGTGTTTAGATCCTTGCTCCATCTGGAGCCGCACCTTCTGTGGTATGAAGAGTGGTTTAATCTTTCTTTCTTTCTATGTTGACATTTGTCTGTGCTTGGGCTGTCGTAACAAAATGCCATCGACTGGGCAGCTGAAACAGCAGAAGCTTCCTTCCCACAGCTTGGGGGCCCGAAGGCCAGCGGTGAGGCCCTCTTCCCGCTGGCAGGTGGCTGCCTCTCCGCGGACCCCACACGGCCTCCCCTCCGTGCACATTGTAGACCGATCGCTGTTGTCCTCTTCGCACAAGCACACAGTCCTGTTGGGCCAGGGCCCACACATGACGCCATGTAACCTCAGTTACCTCCTAAGGACCCATCTTCAGATCACATTGGGGGTTAGGGCTTTCACATACAAATTTCAGGGAGACGCAGTTCATATTGATAACTATTTATTGATCACAGCAATATTGATAACTTTAAAAGTATAAGCCACTTCTAGACCTAAAGGTCAAAACCACTGCGACCTGGGACCCCCCACCTTGCTGACTGCCTGGTGAGCACCTGGCAGGCATGTGGCCTCTTCTCGGGGCGTGACAGCCTATGCCCATCGCCTGGCTCTGGGTGCTGATGTGGATCCGGAGCTTCCCGAGGAATCGGTCGGCCCTGGGAGCTTGGCCCCACACCAGACACCCCCCGGCAAATGTTTACGAGGTACGAGCCAGGTTTCCTGCCCTTGGTTTCTTCTTCGCCTTATGTCCAACTTCACTACACCCTAACCGCAGTCTGAGCCAGGCTTCCAGAGCACCAGCGTCTCTGAGGAGAGAGCAGTTAGTCAGCAGCGGCTTAGAAAGCAGCCCGCCTACCCCTGCTGCCCGTAGTCAGAGCCCTGGTGGGCTTCGAGAGCTCATTTTCTGACAGGGTGGGACCCAGAGCGGGGTTGGAACTTGCTGGGTGTAGAGTCTGTCAGGGGTGACGGCTTGGGGGCTCCAGAGGGGGTGAGGAGCCCCAGACAGAAGAGCCTAGGAACTGAGGGCAGAGGTACAAAGGGAGTCATTGGGGGCATTTGTGACACTTGGGACCAGAGTGACCATGAGGGTGGAAGGGTCACCCTGCAATCAGTGGCCGGCATCGGAGGGCGGCGGGAGCAGGACAGGGTGGGATGGGCCTGGGGAGGGCGGAGGAGCAGGAGGTGGGAGCGGCAGGCAGGCGGCAGCACTTGGAAGGGCTCCCCTGGTTGCGGAGGCACAGAACTTGCGGACAAGTACAGGGTTTCCTTCCTTAGGGTGTGACAGTGACTTTCTGTCTTGGGCCAAGTCCTTCTGCAGTGGTGAGATTGGAACAGGGTTTCTGGGTTCTTTGTGTTATTCTGTCAAGTTCGCTGAGTATGGCCCTGGCTGGGTGGCTCGGTTGGTTGGAGCATCATCCCATACACCAAAAAGCTGTGGGTTCGATTTGCAGTCAGGGCACATACCTAGGTTGTGGGTTTGATCCCCAGTTGGGGCTCATGAGGGAGGCAACCAATCAATGTTCAAAAAAAAAAAAAAAAAAAGTTCTGAGTATGACCTCCTTGACCCTGGTAAGAATGGCCTCTCACCCAGAACTCGTCACAGCGGCTTTCCGTGCTCGCAGAATGTGCGCCTGGGCTGCCGGGTGGCCGGCCCTTCTGGTTCAGAAGGCCAGGTCCAAACGGCGATTCCTGGCCCAGCTGTGTTGTGTGTGTCTGTACGACAGATGGTGTCTGCACACAACCTTCCACACTCAGGAGACGGTCACCGGGGTTAACGCTTAACTCCCTTGGAAGCTTGAATGCCATCGGAGTTACTCCCATCCTGGGTGACTGAGGACATGTGTGTCATCCCAGGAATCGGTGACTTTCAAGGATGTGGCTGTGGACTTCACCCAGGAGGAGTGGGGCCAGCTGGACTCTCCTCAGAGGGCCCTGTACCGGGACGTGATGCTGGAGAACTACCAGAACCTTCTCGCCCTGGGTAAGGTGGCTCCCTGAGGCTCGGGGTCTGTGGCTGGGCACCTTACCACACGGGCATTCCTGGGTCTCCCTTCAGCACCAGTACCGACTGGGGCCGGGCTCAGCAGCATGTGGGGGTTGTGGCCTGTGTGCCCCAGGCCCTTGTGGCAGGGCTTTGCGGTGCCGCTGGCATCCTTGCCTGGAGGAGTGGCTGGTCACCAGGCGAACCAGAACGGGTGGGCGGAGGTGGGTAGGGTCCGGGGAGCCCAGCCCACCCTGGGGCTTTCCAAGGGAGACGGAGGCGGGGGTGTGTCCATCCCCGTGGGTTCCTCAGCGTGCCCGCCTCAGCCTGGTTTCCCATTCTGAGACCCCCATCCCCGGGGACGGCGCACACCTCTCCGTGCCAGCCCGCGCCTTGCCGAGGACTGCCCTGTCCTGTCAGCTGGCCCTGGAGAGCCGCAGCACACAGAGCCATACCGCCGCCTCCCCACATGCAGGGCCCCCGGTCTGCAAGCCAGATGTGATCTCCCATCTGGAACGAGGCGAAGAGCCGTGGCAGGTGCCCAGAGAAGTCCCCAGAGGGGCTCGTGCAGGTGAGAGGGGGTGCAGTAGAGGCATCTGGAGCCCCCGCCCCAGCGCCCCTCCTACCTCCCCACGTGGCCCCCCATCACAGCCTGCTTTCCTTCCACAGCCCCTTGCCCCGCTCCATCTGCGCCTGCTCAGCCCCCTCTAGACCGCCCCCCCCCAGTACACCCAGGGGGCGTGGCCGTGAGCCAGAGGCTGTGCTGGGAGCGCAGCAGGAGGAGGCCAAGACCGCTGCCTTCTGTTGGCTGGAGGCAGGAGTGACTTCTACATGTACAGAAATACTTAACAAGTGGCGGCCCTCAGATGGCACCAAGAGAAATGAAGCAGGACAGGAGAGGGAGTGTGTGTGTGGGACTGGGGCCGGTTTGCTCCTGGAGGACAGGGCAGAGCGGCCTGAGGGCGGGGAGAGCAGGGAGACAGTGCGCGGAGGCGGCTCCAGGGGAGGCGTCCCTTCCGGACATGACCCTGGCAGAGGCTCATTTAGCTTCTAAAGGGACGCGTGTACATCTCAGGGGCAGAGAATGCATTTAATGTTAATTAATATGTCAATTTCTAAAGGAAACGCTGAGAGAGGTGGGGTGAGGGAGTTCTTTTTCCCCTTTGAACAAGGGACACTTTAAATTTAAATTTAATTGTTGTTTTTGGACTTACATTTGTCCAGGCCAGTGCTGACCTGGCTCTGACACACAACAATCTTTTGGTTGATGTTTCAGCAAGTGAGTCGTATCCATGAGCCCTGCACCTTTCCTAACCTCCTGCTCTTTTTGGAATTCCTTTTAGGGGTTCCTTTTGCTGTTTTTCTCCCCTTCCCTCTTACCAGCTTGTTTGCCTGTGTCTCTGCTTTCAAGCTCCCTCGCTCCGTTAGCCTCCGCTCTCTTTTCTGTGCTCCTGCGCCCTCCGCGGCAGGTCTCCCCTCGGTTCCAGGGCCACGCCTCCACCTGCTCACAGGAGATTGCACTTCCGCTTCTTGCAGGGTGGGAGCCCAGGCCTGGGGGACAGAAGGACTTGTGTCGGCGGCAGCAGGGCCTCTGCAGAGAAGAGCCTTCCCAGGAGTCAACTGCGGAGGGGCTGGCGAGGTCCAGTCTCCACAGCCGCGGGCCAGGCGCCGGGTGGGCCTGGGAGGGCCCCTTGGCGGCTCCGTCCAGAGGCGAGGCTGCGCTCTGGAGCTGTGCGCCCGCCGGCTGTGGGGAGGTTCCCACAGAGGGGCGCTGGCAGGGACAGGAAGCGTCGGGGGAGGCGTTTCCCCGCAGGTGCACCCTCTTCGCCCAGCAGAGCCAAGGAGCCCTCGTTCCTGCATTCGGAGAGGCTCCCGACAGACACGCCGACAGTGTCCCGTCCAGCGAGGCTGGGAGTCAGCAGCGGAGAACGTGCGCCGGGAGGAGGGACTGCAAGCCCAGCGAACTGGGAAAGCCTCCGCCCGCAGCTGAGCGCCAGAGTGCTGGCCCCGGGGCGGGGCTGTTTGCGTGTGGCCAGTGTGGGAAGGCCTTCCATCAGAGCTCGTCCCTCACCCTGCACCAGCGGTGGCATGCGCGGGAGAAGGCCTACCGGTGTAACGAGTGCGGCAAGGCCTTCACCTGGAGGACCAACCTCATCGAGCACCAGAGGATCCACACGGGCGAGAAGCCCTTCCTCTGCGGCGAGTGTGGGAAGGCCTTCAGCTGCCACTCGTCACTGAACGTGCACCACAGGATTCACACAGGCGAGAGGCCCTACAAGTGTAACGCCTGCGAGAAGGCCTTCAGCTGCAGCTCACTCCTGAACATGCACCTCCGCGTCCACACCGGGGAGAAGCCCTACAAGTGCAGCGAGTGCGGGAAGGCCTTCAACCAGAGGACGCACCTGACCCGGCACCACAGAATCCACACGGGAGAGAAGCCGTATAAGTGTGACGAGTGCGGGAAGGCCTTCACATGCCACTCATCCCTGACCGTGCACGAGAAAATCCACAACGGAGACAAGCCATTTAAATGCAACAACTGCGCAAAGGCCTTCAATAACCGTTCACGCCTCACCCTCCACCAGAGGATTCACACCGGAGAGAAACCCTTCAAGTGCGGCGATTGTGGGAAGGGCTTCAGCTGCCACTCCTACCTGGTCGTGCACCAGAGGATCCACAGCGGGGAGAAGCCCTTCAAGTGCAACGAGTGTGGGAAGGCCTTCAGCTCCCACTCCTACCTCATTGTGCACCAGAGGATCCACACAGGGGAGAAGCCCTTTGACTGCAGTCGGTGCTGGAAGGCCTTCAGCTGCCACTCATCCCTCATCGTGCATCAGCGGATCCACACTGGAGAGAAGCCCTATAAATGCAGCCAGTGCGGCAAAGCCTTCAGCCAGAATCACTGTCTGATTAAACATCAGAAAATCCACTCCGGGGAGAAGTCATTTAAATGTAATGAATGTGGTGAGATGTTCAACTGGAGCGCCCACCTCACTGAACACCAGAGAATGCACAGAGAAGAGAAGCCCTTCGCCATCCAGTTCAACAAGCATTTGCTGGACACGTACTATGTTCCCAGCAGCCTGCTGGACGCGGGTGGCATGGGCGTGAGCGGCATGGACCCCATAAACTCACTGGACATGGCAGAGCTCCTGTGTGTGGTTCAGCCCTCGGCCAGTAGGAACTTCCCCCTGGGCAGCAAGCCTGGAAATTAACACGTCATCTGGCCTCTTCCCCCGGGTGAAGGGGGAGAGAACACTGGCTCGGAGGTACGTGCTGCCGCAGACACCCTCTTAATAGTGGCCATCCCCTCCCGGGGAAGGGGTACCCTGTTAGGAGTGGAGAGCTGAGTGCCGTTTGAGGATGGCCCGCGGTCCTGTTTCCTTTGATGGGTTTGGAAGTCACCGACCAGGGGAATCGCTATTTCCTGCAGACAGAAGGGTATGTCAGTCATTGCGTCCTCAGACAGGTTCCTGGCGTGATTTCAATCAGGAATTTCGTCTGTGAACTGGTATGTTTAAAGTAATAGGAAGAATTTGTAAAAACCAGAATTATGAACAGTATTACCTCCAAGCGAACATTCATGTATTCCTGGAGGGGAGAGTAACCTTGGATGGAGGGAGTTTGGGAAAAAGTGGATTTCCTAGACTCACCTCACTTAAGTGGCTCTCCTACAGAGTCACTTGGTAGAGGTGGCACCAATGTCACAGGAGCACAGACCAGCATCAGAGTAGCCAGGTCCTGACGGGCCAACGTCACGCCTGGCCGCCTGGCCACCACGCGTGGTGGGACTGGGAGCACGTAGGCGGGGCCCGGCGCATCCACGGAAGGTGGGTGCGTGTCGGGGGAGGTGTGCCTAGAAGCGCCCCTTCACCCCAGGCTGGGGCTGCTGGAGGTCTCCCCAGGCACCATGCAGCTCAGCTCATCTGCACCCCCGCCCCCCGAGGGCAAAGCACCTCCACGGAGACCGTCCCCCACTCCCCGCAGGGACAGGAAGATGGCCTTCATCTGGGATTCATGTTCTCTACTCAGTTCTAAGCAAGTACAAGATGCCTTCTCAGTGGTAATACTTTACATTTGTATAGAGCGCTATATAGTTTATGAAATGCTTTTTAGTATACTTTTTAAATTATGGGGGCAAAATAACCACATTTCAGAAAATGTGGAATAAAGGAGAGAAAACATCCATAATTCTTAATAAAGCTGCATTTCTCACTTTGATACTTCTCCTTTTTTTCATACTGCATTTTTACATCACTTTAAATATAGTAGATAGTATCCCTTTAATCTTTTTTCCACTTTGCTGTGTAGAAGAATGTTTTCCCAAGTGACTGCACTGTCTTTGGAGGCGTAACTCGACGTGGAAGCCAGTCTTCTATGAGATATTCTTTTGTTGGGTGTCGTGATTATTCCCATGTGTTCTTACTATTATAAATCATTCTTCATGGAGCATTTTTTGCATTATACATCTTTAGCATTTTCTTAGAGTAGGTTTCTAGAAGTGAAAATTTGAGATGAAGGAAATGAACTGCCTAAGGAATCACCTCAGGATGCTTTTGATTGTGTGTTTGCAAAGCAATACCATTTCATTGTGAAGAAACCAACCTGCAGCGCCGGTTGGAGCGTGGGGCGCACATCCCCTCCACGGACCCAGGCGCTGTTCAGAGCCGGGTGTCAGGTGTCCAGGCGATCTTCGTTCAGGGCGTGGTGACGACGCAGTGGTGACCCTGGGCCTCGGCAGCTCCGTTGCCTCCCTCCAGAGTGCCCGGGAGCTGGCCTGGCATTACGCAGAGCCCAGGGCCACGCCACGAGAGTCATGGGCCCTCCCACACAGGTGTGCGGGCTTGGCACATACGTTTCCTATCTTTGTGACTGCGTTTTTTATGTACAGAGGTTTTCAAATTCTGTTTAATAAGATCTATTTGACTTTTTTCCTTTATATTTTTCTTTGGCTCTTGGAAAACCTCTTCCTTAAGTCCTTCTTTTTGTTCCATATTTTACAGTTAACACTTAAATCCTCCATCTATTTGGGATGTGAAATTCAAGAGCCGTGCATCATTCTTGAATTGCTTTCCTCACTGTTTATAGACCTGTCTTTTCTGTTATTGTAGCTCCATAATTCACTTCCACATATGGTAAGACCAGGACCACATTTTGAGTAGTTTTTTAAAAGCTCTTTTATCTGTTGTTCCATGTGAACCAGGAATCATTTTCTCAGAACTTCTTCATTCCCCCGGATATTTCATTGGGATTTTGATTAGAATTGACTAGTTATGAAAAATTAAGTTCCATATAATATTGCCTTTACATCAAAGAATGTGGTAGATAACTGTTCCTTTAAATCTACCTCTAACCATCAGAAAAGTTTTACATTTTTCTTCATAAATGTTCTTATATTTATTCTTAAGTTCATTACAATTTTGTGGGGTTTGAAAATTGAGCCTTTCTATTATAAGATGTATAGGATAACTATTGATCGTATATGTCTTCTTGTATATTTGTTTTATACCTAGTAACGTTACTGAATTATTCTAAGGTCTCTAACAGCTTCTCAGTGTTTTGGATTTTCTAGGTATACAGTCATATCAGCTGGAAATAAAATCTTGCCTCTCCTTTCCATATAGATAACCTTTTATTTCATTTTTGGGGGGCGGGTTAAATCATGTTATCAGGGGCCTTGCGGGGGTTGAAGGGCTGGGAGGACGAGAGCCGATGCCCTCTGCCCAGCCGCGACCTCACCTCCCGAGCTTCAAAGCTGCCGAAAAAGCTATTTCATTTCTTTTTAAAACCCACGATGGCCAGCACTTAGCAGAGCATCACTCAGTGTTGGTGGCAGTGGTCTTCTGTGGCAGATGTGTGTCCACCTCAAGGCACTTTGGCCTCTAAAGTTGCAGCTGGGGTGGCCACATGGCCCAATGCTGACCCATGAAGCTCCAGTGGAGGCCTGCCAGCAATTTTGACAAAGTCTTTGCTTTCCTGATTGGAAAACTGTTCCTTCCTGTTCCCCTTCTCCTTCCTGCCTGGAACTTATATGCAAATGCCCAAGGGTGTAGCAGCCGTCTTGCAACCATGAGACAACTGAGGACAAAAGCATAGTGAAATGGAAAAGTAGGACCTTGGATGATTTTTGAGCAGCTGCTCTAGCCAAGCCACCAGTTCAACTCCCTGAATTCTTGCTACGTAAGAAAAATAAAGAGTTTCAGTCCATTTGTCACTCCTCACAGTGGGTCTGTTCCTCACTGACACAGCATCTGGGTCTGTATTCTGACTTGAAGGGAGACAGAGCTAGTGTGTCACTGTTAGGAAAATGCCAACCTTCTCCATAACTGATTGTTTATCACATTAATAAACTATAGGCCTAGTTTGCGAAGGCTTTGAAAACCCAGGATTTAATGCTGAATTTGACCAAACACCTTCTTGGCATACCTCAGAAATGATTATATGGGTTTCCTTTCTTGTTATGGAGATAGAGTTGGATTTATAAAGAGATTTTCTACTGCATCACATTTGTGTTATTGGAGTAAAGCCCATTTAGCAATGGTGCACTAATGAAACAACTGCGTATGGACTTGCTTTCCTAGAGCTTGGTGTGTAACAAGCAGAGCTGCCCAACAACCCAAGATTTCACCCTGGTTTGGCCTGGAAATAAACCACCTAGACTGTACCTGGGAGGAAGGGTCATGCCAAATCCTTAGTGTCTAGACTTCATCAATAGGCTTGTCCTTCCTCTTTGCTCAAAAACTAAATAGAATAAAATAAAAAATGAAGTGTGGGTGGGGGCCTCCCCCAGAACATGGCAGGGTGGCTGGGAAGATCCCCTTATACACGGGGCACCCGCAGGGGACGCACCAGATGCAGTCATATCCTAGATGACAAGGCAGGATGGGCTTTTATCTGAATCGTTGAAATGACAGACATGTTCCTTTTGTAGTCAGTACAATTGTCATTTTCCACTTAGACCAGTGACGTACGGGGTCCGTCACTCCCCATGGCACTGCTCCAGAATAACCCTGCTGTTCCTGTCCGGACCGAAGCTGGACCAACAGGAGCAGGAGGGAGGGTCAGGAGCACATGGATCGCCCCAGCCAGGCCCACTCCCAGGGTTCCGGGGCTTGGGCGCAAACCACGTGTCAGCCAGTTTGTCTCCAGGTAGGTCGTGCCAGAGGGGGCCATGAGCACAAACTAGAAGGTGAGAGGTAGGCAGTGGGCCCGCGTCTCGCCTCCCTCCCCCCCGCAGCCGAGGGCAGAGCAGGGGGGCTTCCGGCACCAGTGGCTTCGCCTTGTCCAGAGGTCAAAGCGCATGTGTGCTAGTTAGGATGGGGTGAGGGGTGAGGTTTGGGATTTAGGAAAGAGGGCGAGGGCTAGGGTGTCTAGAGGTTAGGGTTGGAATTAGGATGGGCTATTTTTTGTGCCTTGAACACCTGCTGGAGTGAAAAGAAAGGTGAGCGCTGGCCTGTGAGTGCGGGGCAGGTGGAAGCTGTGCGCCCTCTTCCCACTCCCGCACGCCGTGTGATCGCTAACCGAGGGCTACAGATAAGCAGGCCAGGCTGCACGTCCCAACGGAAAGGTAATTCAGAGTCGGGATCCCGGAGGCCCAAAGGTGCCCAGCACCCTTTTCATATTCTGATTATAACATCGATTCTTCCAATAAAATTTTGAATTTCCAGTTGAGTCAAGTCAGAAATGTCTGTTTCTGGTTCAGTTCCCTCCCCTGGTAGGATCGTTCTAGGGGCAGGCGTGTCAGGGGTCCTCTCCCGCCGCCCACGGTGGGGAGCCGCCTCCTGCAGGGAGTTGGTCAGGCGGCTAGGGTTAGGTCGCACCCCCATGGCGATGACTGCTTACGGCTTTGGGGGCCTGTGACAAAGCCGAGAGCGGACTCCTTGTAGCGTGTTTGCTGCAGCAGCAGCACCGAAGAGGACCCGTGGTCTCTGTCGGTCTGTTTCACAGTGGTCGCCTTCAGCTTACAGTGCGCCCAACCGCCTCAGGCCCGATGGTTCACTGGAGGGATTCACAGGACTCAGAAACGGTTACAGCTTGTTACCATCAAAGGACACAGATTCAAACGTGCAAAGGAAAAAGGCACAAGGGGGCAACAACCAGGAGAGACCAGGCACACACTCCCAGGTGTCCCCTCCCCATGGAGTTGCCTGGGGTCATGTTAACTCTCAGCAACAGAGTGTGATGTCCCAAGTGAAGGGCCGTGACTGAGGAGCTCTCCAAGGCTCGGTGTCCAGCGTTCTCACTGGGGGTTCACCCCAGGGGTTGCAGCAACCGTGTGACTGGCCCCAGCCTTTGAGACTCCAGCCCTCACTTCCGCCTCCCACCCCAGAGCAAAAGGAGGCCTTCACACCGAATCACAATCCTAAACGAAACTAAGCTGGTCAGACTGAGGCACACAAGCACTCGTACCTGTAGAGCAGCCCAGAGGCTCAGAGGAGACCTGGAAACAGGCCTGTCTTTGGAATGTGTATGGTTTGAGCACCCAGGTCTGCTGAGTCCCTCAGAGACCCCGTGTCCTTTGCCCTTTAGGAGGACCCGGCGGAAAACATTTCAGGTCATTTGCCTTAAGTGTTGCTGCCACTGGACACCTTGCACATTTTCACTTAGGCTGTGACTCAGAATCTCCATACAGCAGAGGTGTGGGCGGCAGAGGCAGCTGCAAAGGCATTTAGGCTTTGGAGGGTCCCAATGAGCCATCTGTTCTTTAGAGTATGGACCTCAGCATGTCGCCTGGTTACTGGTGGTCTTCACACAACCGCCACCCAATGGCCCCGTATTGCATAGGGTATCCGTCTTCCCCGGATGTCCTATGGAATGAGGGTCACTCCTGGTTGAGACACATAACTAACACTCATGGAGTAAAAGACCTTCCCCTCACCTCTTATGCTGATAAGGGGACCCCAATCTTGTACTCTCCCCACAAAGTGACTCAGGTCATGACAAAGGCTCAGCAGGGACCAGCGAGCGGAACACAGCTCAGCACCACTCACAGGCAAAGTCACCCAGGAAGTGGGGAACCAATTCACTCACCACAGACCGAAGCTTGCACTCTGTGACCAAGAGCAAGGAAAAAAGATCTCAGAAGACGACCGTCCCTCCCTGGCTGGGTATCTCAGTTGGCTGGAGCATCGTCCC